GGTTAGACATCTTACACTACCTCCTTCTCTTAGTCAGGGCTCTTTGTAACTGATATCTTCTGAAAGCCATAATTTCTTACCCTGAGTTTTTAGTAAACTCACAAATTTTCCATGATACTACATTTCATGAAATCTCTCCTGTCCCCAAATGGCCCCCCTTTAAGCTGCAAAACCATCCATTCAGCTGCTCAGGTGTGAGTCCTCCTGAGCAATTCCCTCTCCTTTGACACCTCTGCAGTCTATACCCCAAGACCTTTCCATTTTACCTCCCAAATATCTTTCTGGCCTGGGAATTCTCTTCTTGTCCACCATGCTCACAGACACTGTAAGAGATTCTTACGTGCTCCAGCCCAGGGTAGAGTTGGATTTCCCAAGGCCAGAGGGGTGAAGGGGTGGTGAGTGCTGTCAGGGAAGGCCAGCATCTATTCCCTGGCAACACCCTTGTTGGGATGGTCCCCAAGCCTACAGAACACTGGTTTACATGGAGGGAGAGCATGCTGGGGTTTGAGTCTGGGTCTCTGGCAGAGGTACATCAGGAGCAAAAAAAAAAAAAATTAAAATTAGAAATACTCTTTCATCTTTAGCCTCTTGTTTATCGGTTCTGACACTCTTCATTCTCTGTGGATCTGAATTTCCTTCTGATGCTATTTGCTTCTGTCAAAGGAATTTCCTTTAATGTTTCTTGCAGCACAGATTTGTGGATGGTAGATCTCTCAGCTTTAATTTATTGGGAAAAGTCTTTATTTTACTTTAATTATTATTATTATTATTATTTGTGGTCCTGGGGATTGAACCCAGGGCCTTGTGCATGCAAGGCAAGCACTCTACCAACTGAGCTATATCCCCAACCCTTTACTTTAATTATTGCACAATATCTTTAGTATGTAAAGAATGCTTGCTTGACAGTTTATTTTGGCATTTTAAAGATCTTGCTCCATTGTCCCTTGACTTCTATTGTTAATCAAGAGAAGTCTTGTGTTATTCTCATGTTTGTTCCTCTGAACAAAGTTCATTGTTGTTTTATTCTGACTACTTTTATAATTTTCTCTTTATCAGTGTTTTTCAGCAAATTCATTATGATATGCCTTGGTGTTTTTCCATGTCTCACTTAATATACTCAATCTTTCATCTGGCTTCTTAAATATATGAAATATATTTATATATAATGAATATTTTAAGGTCTTGGTCTGCATGCTAAGCATATATATTGTCACTGAGCTAGACATCGCAGCCTACTTGAACTTCAATCTCCATCTCTTCAATTCAGTGAGACTGACAGCCTGAATACTCCATGCAGGCAAGAAGCTGTAGAAGTCATAGGTGTCTCAAAATTTTTCCCCATTCTTCCCGGGATCACAGTCCTGCACATCTGCTAGCCAATGCCCCAAACACCTTTTCCCTATATTCTCCCCTGGTTTTCTAGACGTTCGTGATGAGAGAACAATTTACATAATGGTAATCCTTTGTGGGTAGACACACAAGTCTCCTGTAATGTAGTTTTATATTTGCTTCTCTGGGGCACCAGCCATTGACCATTTTTTGTGGGAATTATTGGCTTGAGATTTATATACCATGTGGTGCTATAAATGTGGACCCCACATGCACGCAGTACTTTTTCTCCCCAAAACAACCTCCATGTGGATGGCAAATTCCATACAGCTTCTCTATGTCAGTTGTTTTGACAAAGTCATTTTTGTTTTGACAAAGTCATCCTTTGCACATATCAGCTTTATGCAGGGATTTTGGTACTGGCTCCCCACCTTTGGCTCCCCACTTGTGAGTCTATGTCTTTCATTCAGTTATCAGTATTAAAATTCCAGCCCCCAATCCTAGCAACCATATCTAGGTAAAATCAATATTATTGCATTATGGAGTCTGTGCATATTTGATTTTTATATATTTAAAATGTTATAGATAATTTAGTCTAGTAACAGCTCAGCTTTGCGATTCTAACTTAAAATACTTGATTATGATTTTATGTTGATCTAAGTTTATATATAACATGAGAACATCTAAGATAACACTGAATTTTCCATATTTAAATATGTAGGTAATTAAAGTTATTTAAGTTCTTGGGAAGTTTTTGTTTAAGTCAGACAGTAGTAGTGATTAAAATGGAAAGGAAATACATTAACTAATGTAAATATAGCTTAACAAATTAAAGGGATTTTAGCTATATAATAAAAAGCAGCCCTAAAATTAATTTTTTTTCATTGATTAGATTTTTAGATAGAAAAAGTAAAATTGTAAAGCTGAACTTCAAGGAATTAGGAAAGTTGCAAAATTTATCATTTGACTATATTATATCTTAGTTTTATAAGAATAAAACTAAATCGTCTTTTTTGCATTCCAATATGCCCCTTGGCAAACTAGTAGCTCACATTTAGCAAGTTACAAATTTGTCAATTGGGGTTAGAAAGTACTTGCGCATCATTAAATTGATGGAGCTATAGTTTCAGGTATATTTTCCTGTTTAGAAATTGCAGCTTTTTACCTAAACCACCAAATCATGATGTAGCTGATTTAGTTTGGTCATCATAATGGCTGAAATAATTTTTAGAACCATTTTATTGGGAAATCTCAGTATAGAGCTCTGAACATGAGCATCATTTCTCTCCCTGATATCACCTCTCATGAAGACACCGTGGATGGCACACTTCGACTTCATATGTTTTCATACAATTTCAGAATTTAGGACACACTGTTTTAAATTCTGTCTTCATGTGACTCAAAATCCTTCTTCCTTTTCCCCCAGTCTCTGTTCTAGTGGGTGGAACTGCAGAACAGACTGGCAGGCTGTGCTCCCATATGCCCCATTTCTTCTCACACTGGAGATGCTGCAGCTGGCTCTTATGTAGGATGCATCAGGGAGAGAGTTTTAGCAACCTCTTGCCTGCATAACCTCACAACTTGGGAGACCTGCCACTTTTTGATGTTTTCCCTCCTCTTTGGCTCTCTGGCAGGAATCTACTTAGCAATTCTTTCTTTCTGGGTCCAGTTTCCAGAGATAGCCCTTTTGTTCTGGCAGGGAGAATTTCAGAGTGTTCCTGGCCAGCCACCTTCCTCCTTCCACTTGAACCCTAGGAAATGCATTTACCTGATGTATCAGTCTGTTTTATGTTATTATAGCAAAATACCTGAATGTGGGTAACTGAATAGAGAAAAGAGGTTATTATTTAGCTCACTGTGTTGAAGGTTGAGACTCCAAGATTAGGAAACGCCATTGGTTTGCCTTTTGGTGAAAACTTTTGGTGGCTTCATGGTGGGAGTGTGTGTGGAGTGAGAGATCTCATAGCCAAACAGGAAGCCAGATGAGTGATTCAGAGGGGTAGCAACTTGTTCTCATGAGAACTACCTCCATCACTTCTGAGGGTAGTGCCTCCAGTGGCCTAAGCACCACCTATTAGGACTCACCTCTCAAAGGTCCTACTACCTCCTATATCACCACACTGAATACCAAGCTTCCAACACACGACCCTTGGGGTCAAACTCAAGCCACACCCAAACTGTAGCACTTGCCATGGCTGAGAGTGAGAATACAGTGTCTCAAACCTGCACTGTGCTCAATGTCATAGCATCAGCATCGGGACTCAGTTGGACAAATGAACAGTCAGCTGAGAGGCAATTTCCAGCCTTGAACCTTGTAAAGGAGAGGGTGTGGAGGGCCCTTCCCAACTACACTGCTCCATCCCCTCCTGTTACGTTTTGAATGTGTCCCCCAAACTTCACGTGCTAAAAACTTAATCTTTAAAACTACAGACTTTAAAGAGGTCATTAGATCATGAGAGTGCTCGTGAATGGATTACTGCAGTTATGTGTACAGCCGGAGCAGGTGTCTCCTCCCCCACTTTTGAGAGTTTACACTCTTGCCCTTCCTCCTACCACCTTGGGATGAAGCAGCAGGATCCTTGCCAAAAACCAGCCTCTTGATCTTGGACTTCCCAGCCTCCAGAACTATAGCAAATTAATCTCTTTTTGCTATTACAAATCACACAGTCCTAGGGATTCTATGATAGCAGCATAAAACAGACCAAAACACCTGTCCCTGGCAGAAGAAAGGAGGGGGGGGAAGCTCTTCACTATTACCATTTTCTTCCAGTTGGGGGGCTGTGTGTGTGTGTGCACACCAGGGGGATGGGAACCAAACTTCCTGAAGAAGCTGCTGTTAGGAGCTGCCTTTCAGCAAGCCTGGCAAAGAGCCTCACCCCAAAGCTGGCAGTTCTCTGAGCTTGGAGGGTGCTTGGTGCCTTTTATTCTTAGCTGTGGGCCCTTAGTCACCAAGTCTGGCACTGGGTACCTCACACCGTTTTATTACATGGAACTGACACCTTTTATTCAATTTCCTTGGGTATCTTAACCATGGGATTGGCTTGATTATATGGTCAATGACCTGATGCACAGCAACTGTAATTTCAAACCTCTGATGGCTTATCTGGTCGTGTTCTGGAGGTTCTATTTTAACTAAAACGTGTACACCAGAAAATGTGCTGTGAGAAGTGTCAAGGAAGGAGCTGCAGAGGAATCCCAAATGAGCAGCAAAACAGAATTAGAGAAACACTAGGAAAGGGGTGAGGCCGTTTATTCATACCAAGGAGGTGCTAGATCACAAGGCTACCCACAGAAATGCACATCACTGTTGTAACAACATACCAACCACACGGATGGCTTACCAGCTGGTGTCCATTATGATAGGATGCTGGAGTATCATCGTAATCCACAAGAAGTTACTGGTAAAACCTCATCTAATCCCTACTCTGCCCCACAACACGTTCCCTTGCTCTCTGACCATCATTCAATGTCCCTCCAACATTATTCTGATCTTTTCCTTAAAACTAATAAATATGTTACCAAGGGTATTTTCTCAGCTCATAATTTATAGATAATGAAAAACTATTAAAGTATCATTAGTGGTTCTTTTTTAAACATATGAATTAGATTTGACACCCCCCACCCTAATCCAGCACAAATTAGGAGACTGCGATGTCTTCCTTGTCTGTAACCCAAACCACTCACACACAAGCAGCCCCGTCGGCTCAACTGGTCTTGGCACCCCCTGCACCCCTCAGCCCAATCTCCATTCACTTGGACTTCTGGGAGGACTTCTGGTTGCCTTTCTGGGATTCCAATGCGACCTTCCTTGCCTCCTCCTCTGGGATGAACACGCTGACCGTGAAGTCGCTTGTCTCGGTGCCGTACTTGTTCTTCACCACCAGCCCGTACTTGCCCGAGTCGGCCGTGCTCACACCTGAGATGGTGAAGTAGGCAGTCTTGCCGGCCTCGAACCTGAGGTTGCAGTGGTCATCTGAGGCCAGCGACTTCTCATTCTTCAGCCAGGAGACCTCTGGAGTTGGGTCACCCCACACATTGCAAGTGAGATTAAGGGCCTGCAAAACAGGTTTTAGAGGTTGGGGGGTGGATAAAAGTCAGATACATGATCCAACTTCAAAAATCTTGCTTGCTGGCTGGCAGTTTGGAATGACCAGATGGAAGACAAAATATAAATCCCCCCCAAACCGGGGCTTAAAGTAATTATGTGTGAGCACCTGTGTGAGTGACAGTTTGAAATAACTCGTGAGTAGGTTTTTGTAGGGCCAGGGCTTTTGGGCTTCTGGAATGTTTGTCTTCAAAACACTCAAAGGAGTTCTATTTCCATTCCTGGTCTCCTCCACTTTTTTCTTCATAAACACATTGATGGCTTTTACTCGAATGTAGTCTTCTGGGCTCTGTATCAGTACAAAACCTCCTTATTGCTACAATCACCACCTGCTCACATTTGCATCTCATTTATGTCACAGAGCCCAGCATCGGAATGGGAACAGCTGCTCCAGATAATGTAACTTATTTTCACATTCCATCTTCCTCATTTTACTTTGCTTCCCAAACCCCAGTTAATCTGTACAACTGCAGAGGTGCTCTACCAAAACCTAGCCTAAATAGGATATTCCCATCTGTGCTGAAATCCTCTTAGACTAAAGAATTGGTACTCAGGCTACAGTCTTACACTACCTTACTTTTTATTGGGGAAAAAAATAATCTCTTATTCTAAAGAATTGGCATTCAGGCTACAGTTTTACACTACCTTACTTTTTATTGAAAAAAAAATTAAATAACTGTAGATTCATGTGCAGTTGTAGGAAATAATAGAGATCCTGTGTACCCAGTTTCTCCCAATTGACATTTTGCAAAAGATCATACAATATCATAACCAGTACATTGATATTGATCTTGCTTAATTTTATTTTTATTTTTTTGGTACTGGGGATTGAATCCGGGGGCCATTAACCACTGAGCCTTCTGCCTCAGCCTCCTGAACTGCTGGGATTACAGGCATAAGCCACTATGCCCAGCCATTTCCTTGATTTTATTTGTACTCTTTTGTATTTGTTTGGAAGTTTTGTTCTATTCCTCACTTATGTAAGTCCTTGCATCTACCACCAGAGTCAAGATGCATATTTCATTGCCATAAGAACCCCTGTGTTGTCCTTTAACAACTACAACTACACCCACCACTGCCCTCCAACTTCTCAATGGCATTCCTTATTCCTGGAAACCTCTAACCTGTTTTCCATTTCTAAAATTTTTCCATTTCAAAAAATAAGAAAAAAATGCAAGAATAGATATATAAATAATGTCTACAATATGTTATCTTTCAGGATTAACTTTTTAAAAATTTTTTTAGTTGTAGATGGACACAATACCCTTATTGTATTTGTTCATTTTTATGTGATGCTAAGGATTGAACCCAGTGCCTCACACATGCCAGGTGAACACTCTACCACTGAGCCACAATGCCAGCCCTCAGGATTGACTTTTAAACTCAGCATAATTCCTTACAGATTCACCTAAATTGTTTCATCTATCAATAGTTTGCCCCTCTTTATTGCTGAATAGTATGCCATGGTATATACATGCCTAGAGTCATCTATACTACTTACAGCTTGGGAACATTATAAAGTGCTATGATCATTATTATACTTTTTGTTGTTGCTGTTTTTGTTTTCATTTTTTTTTTTTGGTACCAGGAATTGAATTCAGGGATGCTTAACCTCTGAGATACATCCCCAGCCTGATTTAGATTTTTATTTTGAGACAGGGTCTTGCTAAATTGCTTAGGGCCTCTCTAAGTTGCTGAGACTGGCTTTGAACTCATAATCCTCCTGCCTCAGCCTCCTGAGCTACTGGGTTAGTTTGTTGGTGTTTTTTTTTTTTTTTTAAATATAAACATAGATTTCCATTTCTCTGGGATAAATGCCCAGTGTGCAATTGCTAGATTGTATAGTAAATGCATGATTCATTTTTTTCCCAGAAATTGCCAAACTGTTTTCCAGAAGCTGTATAATTTTGGTTTACATTTCTACCAACAATGTACAAGTGATGCTGTTTCTCCACATCTTACCAGCATTGCCACTCTGGATTTTGTTGTTGTTATGTACCATTTTGTATTATAGCAACTCTGGCAGGTGTGTCATGATATTTCATTGTGGTCTTTCACTTCCCTGATGGCTTCACATTTTAAATTCTATTCTTGCATTTGTTTCTTACTAAAAATCCAGAAATCATAAGGAAAGAACTAGGGATCACAAGGGACAAAGAAAAACATGTTCTTCTAAATATCTTTTTAATGGGTCTTCTGTGATCACTTATTATCTCTTCTGTAGGAGTAAAAACTGGGTAGATCAAGAAATCTATTTTTATCCCATAATTAATTGGCATTTCTTACTGAATTATTCTACAGATACTTTTCAGAAAGAAACATATGAGTCAACTTATTGCCATTAAGCTTAAACAAGCAGACCAGGCATATAATATTGGAAATTGTGATTATGTGGGGTTAGAGCTTAAACAAAAACTCCCAAACTCCTTAAGCATTATGGGAAACTCATATCTGTACTTTAGACTTGAGTTACAATTTACAAAGTGCTTTCATATACACTCCCTCTCATCACTACCCAGTGGGTCCAACCTCATTAGGTGAGGGAAATGAAATAGAGGATTTAAGAACAAAAGCAACACTGTGATGGTCGAGCTTAAATTCAACTGTGATCACATTTTCTACCCATGAAGAAATGCAGCTGATTGGAACCTCCTCTCATTAACGCATTTTGATATGCTTTGATTTGTTACCTGAGTTCCAAGTGTCCACTGTATGTCTTCACCACCCTTTGAGGTGGGGAAAAGTTTTGTTCCACCATAAATATCTCTCCAGTTATGGCTGCCCTATTAAACTTGTTTTAATGAGATTCAGGAATGATGGAAGTGAATACAGGTCAAAACACTGCTTCTCAAAGAGATTATTATGGAGCCAGGAACATTTAAAATCAGGTGGAGAGAAATCAGTTTTTAAAAGAAATAAAGTCTATAGAAAGGCCTGGAGCAGTCCGTGTCCCTACAAAGGTGAGGCACTTTGTAACAGTATGGTCCATTTCCCATTGTGTGTTAGAGGTCATTTCTTTCTTCTATTTTATGTGTCACAGAGTTATGACTGAATATTTTCAGTTTCTCATCAGTATAAAGGGTGACTCTAGAGAGATACTAAATGATCTCTATGTCCACATGAGACAAACTTGCATCTTGATGCCTACAAAATATTAAGATGATAATTTCAAAATATTTATTTATTTATTTTTAGTGGTAGCTGTCAATACGTTTATTTTATTTATTTATTTTTATGTGGTGCTGAGGATTGAACATAGGGCCTCACATGTGCTAGGTGAGCAGTCTACCTCTGAGCCACAGCCGCAGCCCATGATGATAATATTTAAACCCTGTATTTAGCTATTTTGGACAAGTATAAACAACCATGCCAATAAGATGGGGATCTGGGAATAAGTACATCTTAAAAGATGGGACACAGTCTGGGGTACTTGGAGCAGAGACAGGAGTGCTTTGTACTCACCTTGCCCTCCTGGATGGTGACCACATCAGGGAGACCGCCCAGCACCCGGGCACGATCTGCAAGCATAGGCATTTTCTGGTTAATCACTGCAATTGTGAGGGCCAGAGACTACACTCACAAAACCATCCCAGGGGATGAATCTCCCCAATTTTGTTTTCCCTCTCCTGATGGTTATTTTATACTTTCATTAATAAGCAAATAAGAAAATGATCCAGTGGTTCTGAACTTTAATCCTTTACCTACATATTGACCATGCATGGGTACTTGCCGCTGTACCTAAACTACCAGCTTGGGATTGCTTTGCCACTTTAAGACTGGTTCTACAATTTTCATGGCTATTTTCAGCCCCAGTCCTTCTGCAGCTTAGTGAGGCTAAGCTCAAGGAGGCAGAACAAATCTTAATGGATGGCCTCCAAGCCCAGCGTGGCCTCTTTATAGATCTCCCTATGTTGAGCACTGTTTGCATAATGGAAGGGCCGTATGCTGGGCAGCTCTGGAGGCTCATGCAGACGTGGGCTTTCTTTGAGGCCTTCCCCAGACAGCTTTCTTTTCTTGTTTCCTGGTACCTCTTCACATTTCTGTGCAAACCACTATCTTTGGCTGAGGGTAAAGGCCCTCAGAAGAGGGCATAAGTACTGGATGGGTTAGGGGCTGGTACCTCTGGCAAAGTCCTATGTTCTGGGTCTGGATACCTAAGTTCCAGGGAAGGGACTTTTCTGTAACACATCCTCTCTGTCACTAACACACAGTGGCTGCCAGCCTTGTGTTTTTAGGCCTACTTCAACTAACCTATGATGCTTGATCCTTATTTCTATAACTCCCTTCTCCACAGAGAAACTTGACTTCATTCTACTGCTCATTCCATGGTACCACCTGTGGGCCTAGTCCATCACCTGGTTCCCTGAGCGACTTGCTGTGTGATATCAGGCCAGTCACCTTGCTGGATGGGCCTCAATCTCTGGGTATGGAGTAGATGGAGGGTGGGTTTACATTTGACCTATGGATATTAAATTTGCAAACCTGCTCCACAGTATCCATGGGATTTTGGGGGGTTGGGTGGGGGTGGGGGAAGGGGTGGCACTGAGAGGAGGCCTGGAAGGGGGCTGAGGTAGGGAGCTGGGTCCCCACCCTAACTTCAATTAGGAGTGGGTAAGCTTTACCTATTTTATGGATCGGGTCTCTGTGGAAGATTTTGAAGTAAGTGTCCCATGCCTTATAGAAATATAAAATCTCTGAGGCAGAAGAGCTCTAGGAGTACATGACCTAGAGGACCAGGCTGCTTGTCCACAGGGGAGTTCAAGGACTGGAGAGGCAGGAAACTGCTTGGGGATGTGGGCTTTGCTGGGTGCATCCAGGAATGGGAGGGATATAATAATGCCCCCTCCTGCTCTGACACTCCCTGATCATGCTTTTGTGCCCCTTTTCTGGCTTCTGCCCCTTTATCACTAGCAGCAGCCTTACAAATGCAGGGTCTGAGCTGGGAAAGGGGAAAGGAAAGAGGAGGGGAGGGAAACAGTACAATTGAAAGGTTCAAAGTTCCTCCTGGAGAACCTGGTGCCATGGGGAAGTGAAGGATGATTTCCCTTCCCATTCCTCCTAGTCCCCTTCAATTGCAACTCAGGATCAACTCTACCATTTTAACCCATGACAATATTTAACTTCTGTCTCCTACACCAAAAAAGAAACAGATTAGTCAGACTTCAGGGATCCTGCAGGGCTGTTGGAGTTCTAAAAATCTTTATGTGTGAAGCAAATAGCTAACAGAAGTGTAACAGCAAATGCATTTCTGAATGTGCAAACTTGACAGTTTGGTGTGTGTCCACAAGTGCTGTGATTCATTTGATCAGTTTAACAAATTTAAGAAGGGCCTCCTTGGCAGCTTTATCTTATAGGCACTTTTGGGAAAATATACAATACTTGTTGGGAACAAGTTACAGTGATTTACCTGATGTCAGATTTACAATGTTTCTTTTTGTTAATGTATATATACATGTATATGTATATGTGTGTGTGTTTGTATATGATTTCTGATGCATTCTGTCTGCAAGTGACTCTCAACCGATTCTGTGATTTGCAACCAAGAGATTTCTCAGGATGTTTGGGTGATAGCTCAAGTCAAGAGCTGGGTGACATTCTTTTATTGTAACCTGAGACCTTCTTTCCAAAGACATTCTTACTCACAAGACTAAAATAGAAACATATGTAGAACACATAAGATTTAAAAATGAAAGAAAGAAAGAAAGGAGAAGAAGGGGGGGAAATCACTTTCACTCTCCTCCATCTGTCCTTATGAGAGCAAAATGAAATCCTATTTCAGATCTGCACCCAGAGTACATTGGGGTGGGGGGCGGGGTTACTTACTTTTCTCGGCAATGGCAGCTTGTCTGTGGTTGAGAGAGACGAACAAACATAGAAACAAAGAAGAGTTTTGTTTTAGTGGGACTTTAAGTAGCTAGCTTGACTGCATTTTACTGCTTCAGAGATATTTCACTGCTCAAAATAGCAGTGGGAAGCAGGGCTTTTACTGCACTTGAAACAAAAGCCTCTAACTCTCAGATGGGTGAACAGTACATAAGTTTCCAGGGACATTACTGCATGGAGGTGGCATTTGCCAGGAAAGGGGACTTACTTCAACCTCTGGAACTCAGCAAAGGCTTCATCATATGCTAAAAGAAAAAGAAGAAAGTTAAGAATTTTCTCACCAGAATTCATGATGTAGATGCACAGGGGCTGATTAAAACTCACACCTCAGGGTCACGGTGATCAGCCCAGCCAAATTGACTTTGAATGAGACTGACTGCCTGTGTGTTCACCGGGCAGCTCAACGCCATCAACAAGACAAGCGAGTACTTTGTAGGCAAAAAATATGAAATACTAGATTTTCGATGCTTTTGCTTCAGTGGGAGACTTTCAACCCTTTAAGCAGAAGGGCAGTGACTAGCCCCACTGGAGGGAGAAAATGGGACTAAAAGCCTATTTCAAATAAAAGTTGGTTGTCTACTAAGCATCCTGAGCATCAAAAAAGCTTATTAAATCATTTCCAATGTCACAGGCTCCCAGCTAGACAGTTTAATGTCTTTATGTTGTGTTTCTGGCCAATTTGGGCAAAAGGACACAGTGAGTTACAGTCTTCACAGTGTGTGCCAAGGCTCGCCTGAGGCTGATGGAGCTGAGATGAAAGACAGAGAGACAAGGAGATGAGAACTAGAGTGCTGCAAAGGAAATTTTTTTTCCTGCGCTGGGGGAGTAAGCCATTCTGACTGAAGACTTTCAGCAAAAAGGAAGCTTTGTTTTGAAATCCTTTTCGCCTGGTCTTTGAGCTCCTCTGTGATCTGGGAATCATTATTTCAAGTCTGCAGAACAATTAGATTATACTAGTTCCCCACCCTTATTTTACAGATGGAAAAATAAATATAAAGTTAGGCTTCAGATTGTCAATCCTTATTTTTCTCATCTGTTCAAAGACCCGAAGGAAAGGGGGGCAAAGCCAGGTTGAGAGTATAGGACTTGTCCTGGTCACTATATCACACTTAGAATTCTATAAAGGGCCAGAGTGGAACCAATTTGTGATGACAGTGGCAATGTTTTGTCGATCACACAACACACAGCGTTTGGCTGGAGGAGGATTTGGGGGTGAAGTAGTTAAATAAGTTTTGGTGGGCCAAATTAAGAAAGAACAAATTTTAAAAAATTGAAAATATATTCACCCACATATTGCTTCTCTTTTACTGCTGCATTTTAAATGATCACATTGACTATCATTTTGTGTTTGTAATGCTGGCAGAGTGTGGCCCAGAAAGCTCAAGTCCCTCAGGAGCAACTCCTATTCCTGAGAACACTTTGGTGGATCTGTGTAGGCACAGTAGGTGAGTGGGGTAGGGTCAGGGGATCCAGCACAATAAAACTTCAATGCAGGCTTGAAAAGTGGCTCTCTCAAACTCCACCCTTTGAGGATGCAAAGCACTAAGTGTTATTGCACATTTTGACTGTATTTTACAAACAAGTGGTGGGGGGTGGGGGTAGTCAGTCCACAGCCTCCTTTAGAATATTCCATCTACACTATTTTACTTCTTCAGGAAAGAATACAAGGAAGAGTATAGTAAGTACCAGGAGGGGGGAAATGGCACAGAGTATTTTTACTTAAAATTGTGCATCTTTTAACTTTTAAAATTTTAATTAGTAATTGGGCATCAGCTCTGGTCTTGCTCTTTGGAAACTGTCTGCATGCATCTCTCATAGCTTTCTTCTCTTCTCCACCTCTCTAGAATCTCTTATTCTCTCAGCAGACGACTAAGAAATATGGGCCCATAGGGACTCAGAGTCTCCATCTTACTTCTGTAACATTTGCCCTTGCTTCTTCAGGTTCATTCCTCTAGTTATGGAAGAAGAGTCTCTTACTCCTTTCCAGAGTGAACACTTTCCCCTCTGCCTTTGGTCTCGCCCTGTCCATCCTTCAGAACTTTGGTACGTCAGTGATTCCTCTTCATCCACATCTTCAGTCCTACCAGCACAACTGGTATCTTGGACTCTATGAATATGCTCAAATTTCAATCACTGTGAACTATGGCTTTTTATTGTTTGTTATTATAAAAGTGATTGGAGTCAACCTGCCCTTCTTTGAAACATCTTCCTGCAAGAGTTGTGCTTTCTCTCCAGGTTTACTGTCTCTACCTTACTTTTCACTGATTGTCCACCTACCAATTTCTTGCTTCTACCACAAAGGCTGACTAAAACTGCTTTACCAAAACCACAACTAATAAAATTCACAGGAGGCCATTGTTTTAAGCTGAATTCCTATACTAGGCCCCAACAGACCAGACCAAACCAGAGTACAGTCACTTATGCTAGGTGCCATGCAATCAAATAAACTTTAAAACAGGAAGTTTTCTAAAATCTGGGATTTACAGCAACCAGAAGAGGCCCAATCAAACTGAGCCAGCATGCTAAGGAAGTCTCCTCTGCTTTAACCCTATAAAGAAAGTAACTGAAGGAATCTGATATAAATCAATCTGCTTTTTTGCATTATGTCATTTTCTTAAAAAAAAAAACATTTTTTAGTTGTAGTTGGTCACAATACCTTTGTTTTATTTATTTATTTTTATGTGGTGCTGAGAATTGAACTCAGGGCTTCGCACACTCTAGGCAAGTGCTCTACCACTGAGCCACAATCCCAGCCCTGCATTATGCTGTTTTCTTGATCTTGCTCATGCTACCTTATAAAACCCAACTGCTGTATAATAAATCTGGGGAGTACTTTTCTATTTGGTAAATAGGAATGCTGCCTGATTCATGAATCACTAATAAAAGCCAATTAGATCCTAAACTTAGCTTGTTAAAATTTTGTTCTTTGACATCACCAACATCATACCTCTTTTGACATCACAAACATAATTACTTTGTTTTTCATTAAGATTCACTGGCTATAGCAAGTTTGAACCTGCAGAATATTGGTTTACCTTGTCCAGAAAGATCCACTGTCTTCTGGTGTCCAGTTTTACCATCAAAGAGTTCCATTACATATTTTCCTTTGTCATTTGGAGTGGGCTCATTGATTTGTAGCCAGATTTGCTCCCCGGTGACCCCGCTCTTAACTCTGTCTGTGTACTTAATACCAGCCCCACTGTTGAAATCAAAGAAAGCATTGTTACTGTTTGCTTTCATGCAGAGCTGATTCTTTCCTCTGCCTCTTATTAAAGGCTTTACAACAAACTCATAGACTTTCAAAAACCATGGGGTCTGTGTATGTTGTTCTTCTGCTTCAGAGAAATTATGGGCCTGAAGCACCATACTTGGATTCCAATGCTTTGGGTCTGAGAGTCTGAACATTTATTTAATGCCCCATATGAGTCTAGGGCCCAAGGTAGACTATTAAATAGGAGCAATACTCTCAGTGGTATAAATATCTTTGTTTTTGCTTGGGTTTATTTATAGGACTAAAGGGATCTTTAAAGCTAAAAGGCCAAACTACATATTATTTTGTTGTATATTTCATGCAGATGATTAATGGCTATAAACTGGATTTTATAAGCCAGTCAAAAACACTCATGGAGGCTCATCTGGGCCTGACATCTATTAACATAGGTTATTCCAAAGCTATGTAAAACGTATGTAAAAATGCACTTGGTAATAGAGCCAAGAGTGAATGAAAAGCAGAATGGCTGCCAAAATGAATGAGGCATGTGCTCTGTCCCTGTAAGTTTCTCAGCATTCTACAGTAGGTCACAAACAGACCCGTGCATTGTGTTCTCGTAAGAGAAGAACAGGAAATATAGCCCTTTGTACTGTGATCTGACAAATGCTACTGCTATAAATGAAATATGAGAAAAGTATGTAAACACACTCTGGCTGTTAAAAGAAATTTCATCAAGAGTTTGTAAAAGTGTAAGAAAATAAGAAAAAAAAGGCAGAATACAAAACTACTTTTTTAACAGTAACAATTATACACAGAGAAAAGATTGGAAGGAAGTACCTTCCAAATGTTCCTATTTTTGGTTAGTAAAACTATGGACAATATTGTATTATAAATTCTTTTCACTTTGTAATCTGATTTCATAAATGTATTTTCTAAGACAAGTGTGTTCTATGTTTATAGTTGTAATAAACAAGATTAACTTTAAAAAAGAAAAAAATTTCACCAAAAATGATTTAGCTTTCAGATATTTAGTATTATTTTATTACATGCTTTGAAGAATACCTACTTATATAAATATTAAAGATATTAAAAATTTAAATGCCATAAAATATAAGGTACCCACAGATTTTTAACCTGATCATCTATATCCCCAGATTTTAACCTGAGCAATAGACATGTCTTAGAGAGTAAGACAGACTGTGCTCTACTTTGTTATGATAAATCTGTTCTTTAATTTCTGGTTAACATGCAAAACTGTATGTATGTTAAGCACTTCAGATGAAATGTGTATTATTTCTTCTATTTTATATAACAGAAAACTGATATTCATAAAATTAAGTCATTTACCTAAGACTATAATGGAAAGTAGGAGCAAAGTCAAGACTAGAACCTATTTAATTTTTTTTAAGTATGCCACATACTTAAAAAAAAAAAAAAAAAAAACCTAAGACAATCCTTGATTCCTGAGTCCTTCATAGGCACATGAATACACAAGAAACTCATGTGAGTAAAGCAATGAGACCAAACAAGGTTAGAAGTTTACGCCTTGCTAGTCTAATAGCCATTTCCTCAAAAATATAAATGTTCTCTTTTTTGGAACAACTAATTCTTTTAGAGATGATATAAGGCTCTTTGATGGATGGTTCAACTAATCTTCCTTCTCTCATTCTTCATACTGATAAATTAGAATGTCCTAGATGTCACAGAGGAATTTCCTAGAATTTGATCTATTTTAACTTAATGACTATGTTCCTAAAATGTATTCTGAAAGAAATAGAAAAAATGAATGAAACCCCAAGCATTTCCTACTGGAATTTTACTACTTCTCATCTTTTAGAATTCTGAAAATGATTATTAATAATAACAATAAAATAATAGTCTACATAAGAATAAAGCTGTTTCAAAGTAGACATAAACCACCTAGTTTGGGTTAATTGTTTAATCCGACTTTTTTTCAGTGCTAAGGATACAACTTAGAGACTGTGTATATGAGACAAGTGCTCTACCCTCAGCCCTAGACTTTTAAAACATTATATTTATTTTTTAATGGGTACATGAAAACATAGGAATTGTGCATGTTAATGGAGGGACATGCTCTTTTGACACATGTATCTATTATATAATATTTAAATCTGGTGAAACATGTCTATTTTTTCACTTATCATTTCTTTATGGTGAAAACTTTAAAAAATCCTTTCTTCTAGCTTTTTGGAAATGTAAAGTTTATTATTGTTATCTATAGTCACCCTGCTGTGCTGAGCACAACAGAATTTCTTCTTATCTAACTGTAACTTTTAGTACCCATTGATCAACCACTCCCTAGCACCACCATCCCATTCTAGACTTTTAATGCAATTTGAACAGAGGGTGAGTAGTGGGTATGCCATGATAAACCAGGCTCTGGAGTGAGGCTGCCTGGGCACAGGCCTCTTCAATCCACCTCTTTGCTGTGTGACCTTGACTAAGTCATCTCCTTGAGCCTGAGTGTCCACATCACTCTAAGGAGTACCTGTTCCATAGAGTGTGGGTATGAAATAGCCCATATATCCAAAGAGTAGGAACAGTGCCCAGCATACTGTCAATGTCCACTGAAGGTACAACATGAATAAATAATTGTTATCTGTGTCCTCCTGGAGATACCATAGGACCTACTTTTTAGTGAGGTTCTGAAAAACATTAGGTAGTTTGGAATGGAGGTACATTGCATCCTAAGATTGGACTGCAGTTGACTATACCACCAAAGATTATCTATGCCTGTTCTCTGTTCACTTTCAGCTCAGGATATCTTAAGGAAGCACAGAGGTTAAGAACCCTGACAAGTTTGTGAAGGAGAGGACTGGTTTGATTTAGAAACCCATTTTGGTTCTTGAAATCCTCGAGGTGAACATGAATACAATCCCTTTGTAACTCCACAAAGGCAGCCTGGGATTAGGACGAATCTTCAGGCTCAATCCAGTTCAAACACAAATCCCCAAAGTCATCTTGAGGTCTCCAAAGCCTTCCGAGGGTGGACAAGAAACATGCTAACGCCCAACTGTGCCAGTTCATGTGAACACCAACGATAAGCTTGAGCTCTCTAGAAGAAGCCTCTTGGTATGGCCATTAATTCACATAACAGGAAATCTGGTGCCTCCTGGTGCACTCTGCTTTTGTTCTGTTCCAGAACACAGCATGTACTAGCTGAATACAGAAACAGAGGGCTGTGAATGTGGTCTGGAGGCCTAGCAAAACAGGGACAGCTGAGTACTACCATCTGGAGGTAGAGGTTCCATTACAGAGAGGTTTGTGAATGGTGAACTCCGTAGGTCACCAAGGAAGATGTTGTATTGTAGCCATGACTGGCTTCACCATGTACATGGTGAGGGAAAGAGCTAACCTTGCAGTAAGGGAATGGTCTGGGTGTTCCTGTCCTAAGTCAGATCTGTGAATTAAGAAGTCTCCTTATCTGAAAGGCACAGCTTTCCCCCCCGCCCCCTTCACTCCCTAGTGAAGAAAGAATTTCTATACAGCAAGAAAGTTTCCATTTACTTACTTGTGGGACCAGTTAACTTTCAAATCATCCAGGTAGTAAGTAACAAAAGAGTACAGTCGGATGCCCTCGGCTGTGCTCTGGATTTTCAGGTCAGTAGCAGACAAAGCTGAAAAGAAGAACACAGCATATTTCGTGCACTTATAAGTCCATGCTGGAAGGAGAATGGTAAAGCATTGCTGTGGTGAGAAAATCTTAACTTACCTATTTTCCTGCATACTTCAGTCATCAGTTCATTGAAGGCTGTGGATAGAAGTTTATAGCCAAAATTTTAGCAAAAACACACTCAACGTAAGGTCAAAACTTAAAGTGTTAACTCTCAAAAACTGTGTGGTGGAGGGCATTGGACACAAGGTGAATTTGTTGACCAACTGAAAATCAGTGCTCTTTGAGGGGCAACTGAATTTTTATCAGGTTTTCAAAGATCTCTGCTTTACTTTGATATATACTTTTTTTCCTGCTAATTCTTTGTAATTACCACCAGGTTTATATTTTAGAGAAAGAGCCATAGTGAGATTTCCAGGAAGGTTCTTGGCTTTAGGATTTTCTTCCTTCTCAAGTCCCAGGAAGTTTTAGTTTACAGTACAGGAAGTTTTCTTATCTATGTCATCAATTCATAATGAATTAACCATCTCTCTTGGCTGAACTTCCTCAGCCTAATAATGCTTTTTGCCGATAAACATGTAATCCTGCCTTTGCCAAGAGTAGGAAAGTGAAATCAAAGTCAGACTTCTGCTGTTGGTTAGCAAATATTGTTAAAAGATCTTGTTCAGGAACAAAATTGGAAGTTTGGTGGGGGGGATGTCACAAAAATATTTTCATTATTATGCTATATTTGTCCTTAGTAGTCTCTGAAGTAGAAACGGCTTTCTTACTTGGCTAATAACTGTGAGGCTTCAAATTTCACATATCAATCTCTTGCTACCCTTAACAATGGACTATTTTTCAACATGCTTCTCATAGAAGTTTTTGATCCTGGAACCTTTTTATAGAGTTGAAACAAAAATAATGACTTAAATTGAAAACAGACCCCTAGTGCCCTGTGTACTATAAATTTTCTGAGAATCTAAAGTACACTTTTGATTTCTAGGAAGACCAAAAATGATTTAAAAAAAATAAAATGGTAGTTTACTCTGCTGGAATTTCAATTAAACTGAAATCTATGGACAAAAAAAAAAAAAAAAAAAAAAAAAATCAATATGACTTCAGTCGTCAGCCCAGTCTCCACCATAATCCTGGTAACCTTCATAGAAAACACACAAGAACAGATCGCAGCAGTTGGTGGACTGACCTTCATCCACAAGCTTCAATCTGCTCTTATCTTTTCCTCGATCATCTTTTAGGATAACTTCATAAAATCCAGCATCCTTCTTGGAAAACTAAGGGGAGATTGATAAATTATTTTGCAGCTTGTTGTAGAGTTTAGGGTATGGTAAACAGCATTTTTCAATTCCTTGATTTATGAAATGCCTTCAAAACACAGACCAAATAAGCATTTAGCCACACAAGTGATGAACGATTCATAGATGTGTTTATCCATAATAATTTGCCTAGCTAGTCATCCTGATTTTGTTACCCTCTAAGGCTATAATTGATTTCAGCCAAAGTCTTTAAATCCTTTGCTATGCCCTCATTTATTTAAAACTAATGATCCACATAGTTGAAACTGTGCTCTTTTAGACAAAATGTAGATGAAAATCTGTATGCTTAATGAATACTGCATCTGATCATCTCTGTTCTTTTAGGAAACAAGTTATTAAGAAGCTTGCATACAAATAACAAATAACACTTAGCTACCTACATTAAAAAAAAAAAGTAACACAAAAAGCAAGAGTTGTGGCATCCGTCTGGTACTGGTTGGATATTTGACAAGCCCACGCATATCACAAGGTAGAAATGCTTTTGTGTTCCTACAGCAGTTAGAAATAAACTGTTGTAAATCCCCAGGGCATGAAATGAATATAAAGTCTAGTGTTTGTCTGCTGGGAGGATGTGGGGTAGAGAGCTAATACACCACATTTCACATTTTCAGTCACCTACCTCTGTTATAAGCAGCGTGCATATACCATCCTTAAAGTCATGCTTTTCATCCACTGATATCTCCCTCTCATCTTTGTACCAAATGATGTGAGTCTCCTTCTTAATATTTGCCACCTAGCAGAAAATCCATAATTACCTTTTTTGACATAAGATGGTATTCTTAGGAAACTAAGTAGTTCTAAATGCAGCCAGGTAGGGAAGAAAAAGTCTGAACACAGAGTCAGAAGACACCAATTTCTAAGGGAATCAATTGAAAACTATTTCAATTGAGGAAAGGGTTTAGAATAAAGTGGATCCCAATGAATAAAACTAAGTCAATAGTTATCTCTATTTCCAGCAGTAAACATTATTTTAAAATTATTATGTGAGCTGGGCATAGTGAGGCACACAAGTAGTCCCTGTACTCCAGAGGCTGAGGCAGGAGGATTGTTTGTGCCCAAGTTTGAGACCAGCCTGGGTAACACAGTGAGACCCTGTCTCAATTAATCAATGAAAAAAAATTATTGGGTAGGTAAGAAATAATATATACACATTAACCTACTCACTTGAGTGAAAATAAAAATCTCAAGACCAAAGTAAGGCAAAACCTATCAGATTAAAATATAGCCTATGTCCTAAAAACTAATGGCTTTATTAAAGACACAGATTGAGTAAACTTCAATCTATATCTGAAAATTTGATAAAAGATAAATAATGAAGTATTACAAACATACATAAAGGGGAAGTATGATTTAATAAATTAATTGCTTAGTACTATTGAGGAGACTCATTGGATCTCATTTCACACACATATCATATTATAATTTTAGATGGACTAAATAATCTCCTATGGTTAAAGGGATCCTGAACTTTATATATAAAATTTGAATTTTTATTTACAAAGGAGACTATATGAATGTAGTTCTTATATAATTAAAACTGTATGAAAGAGTAAACTTCATACAAATGTAGAAAACAACCCCAAAGACCCCACTGAATAGCTTGTAAAATGTACAAACAACACACCCACCAAAAGAAACACAACTACAAAACAGATGAAGAAAATGTTTAGTCTCATTATAAACAAGTTTAAACAAGTTTTAAGATGTTAAAAAATGTCAGCTAATAAATGAACATAAGAACCAATACTGGCAACCATATTGAAACCCATACACACGAATGCCCTTATGACCCTGCAAACAAATCCATGAGTTATAGAAAGTTACTGGGTTACTAGGTGACATTACTTATGATAAAGTGGCCCCGAGTGAAGAGTTGCATTGGACTAGGAGGGGATAGCAATGCTCTAGGTTTCTCTGAGAACACCAGCTCTTGGAATGTGGACGGATCTGTTGCAGGGATCCTGGAATCTCACTTAGGGTGCTGTTACAAGAGGCTGGATCATTGGAGCCATGTGGTGTCTTAAATCCACATTGCTTCCTGCACCAATGTAGACTTTGTCTCCTTGCACCTCAGTTGTCACCTGGAGGTGGCAAAGGGAACAGCTGCTCATGTGAACTCCTGTAGGTAGGAATGCCCAGCACTGCCTTTGCAAAGATCTGGGCTCCTCCTCAATCCCTTGGAGTAGATTAGGGCCAGCTGGAGTCTGTGATAGTCTCATGAGTCTGAAGGTTTAGCTGTATATACAACAAGGAGTATAATGCAATAGTAAATTACTAAATTTACACACATTGCCATAATGTAACAAAGAGCTGTGGGTAATAGGGGAAACTTCATTTTAGCTGGACTGAGAAGGAGGAGGAGGCCTACAGAGATGGCTGAGCTGGGCCTTCAGAAAGGATTTTGCCAGAGAAGTTGAAAGAAGAAGGCCATCTGAAGGACTTGGAACAGCAGCATAGTATAGAATGTGTGAATATTCATAATCTATTTCTAGGCTCTCCTTGGTTGGTCAGAATCTGGAGAAGGGGCTGAATTTTCTGAGAGTCATCTGAATAGGACAGGAGTGCTCACTCCCAAAGGGAAACAGGTAGTACAGAAAGGAGTGGGAGGTGTGGGGTTCTAGGGAGGGATGGTTTGGTGTAACAGGCCATTAAGATGTAAAGTGAGTGGGGGCAGTATGGCAGTGGGTAGCCAGGGTGACAGAGAGAGGGTGAGCTGCAGCCTGAGAAAGAGTTTTTCAAGAAGTGTTGCCACTTCCTGAGAGAAACTTAGAATTGATTTTTCTGGTGAACTGCTGTTTCTTTGAGTTTATCAGACCTAGCAAAGACTAGGGCACTGGGTTCTGGCTTATATTAATGACAACTGCATGCCAAGTGCCGGATCCATGATTCTGCTTTTGAGTTACTGCTGGCCACCATGACCACACAATCCAACCCCTCCCTCATTCAACAATGCCTTCTCAAAAAAATTTTTTTTCTTTTTTAATTAAAAAATTAATTTTTTTTTTTTGAGATGGGGTCTTGCTATGTTTCGCTTGAACTATGGGCCTCAAGTGATCCTCCTGCCTTAGTGTTCTAAGTGGCTGGGACAATGGGCATGTACCACCAATGCTTGGCTTGCCAAAAGCTTTCCCTCCCTCCCTTCCTTCCTTTTTTATTTGCTTCCTTCCTTTCCTCTCCTTTATTCCTTTTTTCCTCCTCATTTCTTCTTTTTCTCTCTTCCTTCTTTTTTTGCAGTGCTGGAGATGAAACCCAGGGTTTTGCACATGCCAGGCAAGTACTCTACCACTGAGCTATATCTCCATCCTCTCCACAAACATTTTTGATGATTCACTCAGCTAGAGAACATATGTGTTATGGTTTGGATATAAGGTGGCCCTGAAAAGCTCATGTTAGATGTGCAGGAATGTTCAGGGGTAAAATGATTAGATACGAGAGCTATAACCTGATCAGTGGATTTAACCATTTAATGGATTAATGATATGAACAGATTACTGGGTAGTAACACAGGCAGGTGGGATTTGACTGGATGAAGTAGATAAATGGGGCTGTGCCCGTGGGGATTATATTTTGTCCCTGGCTTCTCCCCTGCCACACTCTGTCTTCCTGGCTGAGCAGTTTTCTTCCACATGCCCTCCATCATGACATTCTGCCTCATCTCACACCCAGAACAATGGAGTCAAACAAACATGGACTGAGACCTCTGAAAGTGTGCATGAAATAAACTTTTCCTTTTCCAAGTTGTTCTTGTCAGGTATTTTGGTCACAGCAATGAAAATCTGACTAATACAATATGCTGAGATCCAAAATAGTTTAGAATGCTATATAGAATTAAAAAAAAAAAAATCTTTCCAAAGGCCTAATAAGACAATTGGTTGTGAGCTATAAACTCCTTTCCAAGCCTTGCCTCTTAAGGTGGCACAGTGGTGAGAATCAGGAGAACAGCTGGAAAACACTCAAAGATATTGCTGTGCTGGTCTCACAGTTTAGATAGGAAGTCCACCAAGTAACACTGCAGCTGAGATAAGACTGGAATAGATCTACCACTTAGAATGCAGATTTGGCCTAAGACAAAACCAATGTGAGTCTTCTGAGGTTAAGGTTAGGCATACCTAATCAAAAATGCTCCAAAATCTAAAACTTTTTGAATGCCAATATGACCCTACAAGTGGAAAATTCTATGCCATGTTCATGAATAAAAATTTTTAAAATGTTGTAGAAAATTACTTTCAGGCTGTGTGAACATAAATTCATTCTGTGTTTAGATTTGGGTCCCATCTCAAGATATCTTCTCCCTAGCCTCTGCCCCCAAATATACATATTCCAAAATCTGAAAAAAATCCAAAATTCAAAATACTTCTTGTCCAAAGCATTTTGGAAAAGGGATATTCAACTCATAGTGAAGAGGTTCTAGGTAACAAATAGGCACAATCACCTTGCCTTCCCACAGTTTATGGGTGTTTTACTTTAAATGTTCTTTCCCAACCAATGGTTACAGTAATACTCAACAGTAAAGAAGTGCTGCTCATCATTTTGGTTCAAATGGAGGAGATAAAAAATTGATCTTCTTCTCCATATTCTATTTTCTATATATTTCCCTTGAATCCAATATTAAAAATGTATCCACCTCTTACCTTGCATTTCAACAGTACATTACATTCACCTGTCACTTCCCAACTCAAATACTCAGCAAAATGTGGACCTATAAAATTTTAATGACATAAACAATCACTTTATCAATCACAAAATGCAAGATCAAAGCTCATTCTTAAATCCTAAAATAATTTTGTTTGAAGTCAAATTTTAAAAATTATCGATTTAGTTCTAACTATTTTTAATGTCTGAATATTTAATGACCAATATTTTCAATTCTTTTTTATTTCATCAGTTATTAGTAACATAATCAATACTGTTCATTTAATTTGTTATGGAAATAATCTTGGAATATTTTATACAAAATTTGGTTTTCCCCTCTATCCCCTGCCTGTTTTTACCTTGTTTCCTGATCCATTCTTGTCGCTGGAATTCAGCTTCTTTCTGGAGCTTTTTATAAACTAGAAATTGAAAAACAACGGAGTATGAAATTGAGTTGAACAGCATAAATACCATGCCCAAGCCAGCCACTGTTGCTAAATGACTTATATTTGTTATTACCATGCTCATACATTGTGATGACTCTACTCATTTTGATTTTTATAGATGAAGAAATAGGCTGAGAAAGGTTAAGTAACTTTTCCAAGGTCATAAAGGTAGGAAATAGTGAAATGATATTGGATATCGCAAACAGAGATCTGGCAGCCTTGCCAATGCTTGGTTAAATGCCACATTTTAAATCTTGGCATTTTCCACAGGGGTTTATGGCAGCTGACTACCACAATCTAGTTATAGTATACGATTAACAGATTTGGCATGCAGTACTTTTGCGTATTTTTCTTTTCCAGTTAAGTAATTTAGAGTAAGTACATATTGTAAAACAGTGTCCTGGCTTATTTCTGAGACACATATACAATCTTGGTTGTGCTATAACTTCCTTCACTGCAGATTTTAGTAAGAAGTACTTGTTTATACATGAGACTATTTAAACGCAGCTTTGCTTGAGGGCCAGGGATAAGTTTGGTATTCTTTTAAATTAATGTTCATTCCTGAAATGAAATACTCTGCAAAATATTAACTGAAAATTGTATTTTGATCATAGTAATCCAATTAAGGAACAATTCCCACTACCTTTCACAGGACCTCTTTGTGTCAAGGGGTATTGGCATGGAAGGGAGCAGTAAGGCCTTCCAGTTACTGTTCCTCAGGCTTCTTACCATCTCCAATGAGGACAAGAGTAGAATGGCCAGTCGCTTTCCCATCTTGAATCTGGAACGTATACGTTCCCTCATCTTCGTCCTGCAGCTTTTCCATGAACATTTCAATTATGCCAGTGTTTCGGTCAATATGCATCTTGTATTTCTTCAATGTGGAAAGATAAAGAGAGAAATCAGTGAGGTAGACATTTCACTTTGATGACAATAAGTCTGATGAAATAAAAATGAAGCCCAAGAATCACATTTTTAATATTATTTCCTGACAACCAAGCAAGTTCATTAAAATCTTGCACCTGGGAAAAGGAACATATTTCTTATATGAATACATGACCTAGATCAGAACTGATGACCGAATAATTTGAAATTTAATTTTATTAAGTTTAAATGAAGTTTTGTTACTCTATGTTACAAAATATTGTCGAAAAGTTGTTTAAGATTCCCATTTTACCTTCCAGATTACACTATTTTTTAGTTAGCAGGGTAATATAAAACTCTAGGTAGCATGGGGGGGGGAACATCTTATCATTCATTGCTATATCCTCACCATCTAACATATTCCTGGTATATGGTAGGCAATAAATAAATATCTGCTAATAATATATGAATTAAAATGCTTCTAAAGCATTAAAATCAATTTGTTCTTAATGAACTATTTCATTCTTATTAGATTGTTTTGTTACATTGTTTAGACAACTCTTTTTCAGAGTGTAAAGGTAAATCTTAGTCCCTGGGTGTATAGGCACAAATTCCATAAATCTGAATTAATGAAGTTTTGCTATAAAATATATCCCAGAATGAAGGATCAGGTCTGGGACCAACTCTGTGGCACAATTCATGCCCCAGAGCCTCTTCTTGCAGGAAGTCAGTCTCCAGCTGAGACCAATTTTTACTTAGCTTTCTCTGACCCTAGTCTGCTTCTTTCACCCTCTTTTCTCCAGAGAGCACCATCCTACATCATGAATCAGAAACTATTTGAACTCTCTGGCTATGGAACTTGACATAAGGCAATATGTGTGTGCATGCATGGCTACATGTGTACATGCTTGAACACATAAAGTCTACATATGTGTGTGTGGATGATCACTCAATGGTTATGGGGGAAATGATTCCAACCATAATCTTCCTTCCTGTCCTCCAGCCAGGTGTCCTCATAGCAGTTGATGAGAACACTTTGGAAATGGGGAGGAGATGGACCCCAGTGGACATATGAGTGAAGGGATCTAGCTTTATACAAAGTTATCCTATATGTTGAAAAGTGCATACAAGGAAATACTATTCCTCACTAAAGATCTTTAAATGTTTTAAAATAAACAGCAATAAAAAGATAATAAGTTGCTAGTAATGGCCACAAGCCATATCTCCTCCCCACTTTCATTTACATTCATGACAGCACAGGAGAGGGCTACAGACCCAGAACCCCAAGTTCTTTAGTACATCAGGGCATTGGCCTAATCATAATTCTACTGATATCTTTGGGGAGGACAAATAAAGCTCAGATGTATTAAGTCTGTCTATAAAAACTAAATTTACATCAAAAGGAAAGGAAATAGCATTATATAGACGTACACAGAAGTATGGAAAAAAATCTCCAATCACGTACATTAAAAGTTGTAAGAATGTATGATCTGTCCTGAATCATTAAAGTGTTTCACAATAAGGATTCATTGCATTTTTAGCTAGAAAGGCAATGAAAGATATTCTTACTGCATTTTCCTGAGCCACTGAAACAAGATATTATTTTCTCCATGTAATGTATCAAGTCTGTTGGGGTTTCTGACACATTAGAAACTAAAGATGGCCTGCATCTTTTTTAACAGCTCATTAAAAACAAACAAAAAATGCCAGAGTTCTGGTTTTTGAAATGGCGAATACTAGTTTACATTTTTTTACCAAGCTGTGGGAGTGTGCCGTGAATTCAGGAGAGGCAGCTCTGTTTCCCTGGGTGATTATACTTCTTGGTTTACCTGAAACAGTATTGATTTATAAATGTTGTCCTGGAAAAAAATTATTAATAGCACTCTCTTTCAATCTCAAAAGTGTATCAGTTTCAATAATACAATATAGTTCCTAAGTATTTCTTCTTCACATTCTTTTCACATACAAGAATGATTTAGACTCCACTCTACTGTAGTTTTCATAACACTTTATCCATGTTCTAGTAGGGCATCCTCCATGTGTTCTACAATGATACATTTAAAAACCCCAAAAGCATAAAACCTACCGGCCCTTCAAAAATTTCCTTCTCATTAAATATGTAGTTGACTTTGGCATTGCCAGAGAGCTTCTCAGCCTGCATCCAAAACCGGACCTGACCTTTCTCCAAAATTTCAACGGCCAACTCTGATTTAGCTGGGACAGCTATGAAAAAAAAACAAACAAAAATAAACACAGTAATTATATTGGTAGCTGATAATAATGATACGGATTGTTGGAAGCGTGAAAAATTAGACAATGGGAGTCGGAAGTGGTGGTGCACGCCTGTAATTCCAGTGGCTTGGGAAGCTGAGGCAGGAGGATCACGAGTTCAAAGCCAGCTTCAGTAAAAGTGAGGTGCTAAGCAACTCAGTGAGACCCCTGTCTCTAAATAAAATACAAAACGGGGCTGGGGATGTGGCTCAGTGGTTGAGTGCCCTTAAATTCAATCCCTGGTACCAAAAAGAAAAAAATAAAAAGGTCAATGGGAATAGTGCTTTTGCAAAGCCCAGAGGCAGTGAGAGCTTTGTAGGAAAAACCTCAGATTGAGGGACAGGAAACCTGGGCTTTTACCCTCGGGCTGTCACCATGGGAAAGTTGTTCACCTTCACTGAATCACAATTGTCTCAACTGTAAAAAGGAAGAAGATGAACTTACCTCTAGGGACACATCCAGCTAATATCTGTGACTCTCCTCTATGGCTTTGGTTAGGTTTATTCAAGGGCAATGATGAGATCTAAAGAAGAGTTCTGCACTGATCCCAGGAGAGCCCAAGGTCTGCTACTAGCAAAGTGTGTGACATTAGGCTGGTTACCTTGTGTTGCTGGCTCTCATTTGATGTGTCTGTAAATGAATTGTATTAAACTAAATGCCCTAATTAACCATGATCATTTTCCATCTCTAACATTCTAAGGTTTAGTATCTTAATTACTTCAAATTATTTAGAAAGGAGTTACATTTGATTTTTTTTTCAAATAATTTAACTTACTTCAGGATTTTTGAAATGTTTTTTAAAATATAGATCTTAAAAAAAATGAATTTTGACTACACAGTTGGCCCTCCATATCCATAGGTTCTGCACCCATGGGATTCAGCCAACCATGGATCAAAATACATTGTTTTAAATTGCATTTGTCCTGACCACATGCAGATTGTTTTCCTGTCATTATTCCCTAAACAATGCAGCAGAACAACTGTTTACATAGCATTTGCATTGTATTTGGCATTATAAGTAATGCAGATAATTTAAATATGTGGGAGAATGAGGATGGGCGATAGGTGGAATATTATGTCATTTTGTTAAAGGGACTTGTGCGTCTATGGATTTTGTTATTGGCAGCGGGTCCTGAAACCAATCCCCCACCTATACTGTGGGAAGACTGTATACTCAGGCTGGTCATTTAAACCTATTCTCCTCAGTAATATATTACCTCATTTTAGTTCCAAGACCAAGCAAAATTATTCAGAGGCAAATAAATGAGCCACTATCAAGATGCTCTATCAAAATACAGCATAGCTTTCTTCACCTAGAAAACAGAGGAACCATATGGCATCTCTAATTTATACTAATATTGCTTAAGCCGTTTGAGTCTCAGTGACATTTTTTAATTTCTCACAACTTGGAAGTGTTCTCCAGAAAGGCTCCTCTGGCCGTGTTTTCTATCAGACGTGGCTCCAGGGCATACTTTGTGGAAAAGCTTGGCTGTTTCTCACAGTTTAGTAATCCTTAACTAGCTTTAGGGGAAATTATACCATTTATTTCTCTAAATTGTTCTTAAACTTATTTCAAAAATTTAACATGTGCTATATTTTAAATGACAAACTACCAAACTTGTATCAAATGCAAATTAACATTCTTCGTATTTACCCTAAATCTACCCCATCAAGCTTAAAGGGACACCTTTCCTTTGCATTGTTCCCTACCCACTACAAAATTCAGTCATGGGCTTGTTCTGGTTGAGAACTGAAGAATGCTCAGATATCATCTACTAAGGAGATGCACCACAGGGAAGAGGATGGGCTGTGGAGTCACACCGTCCTCTTGAACAGTTATTCTCCTCCTTAAACCTTGTGCTCCTCGCTTGCTGATGTGGATATGAAGTGCCCCTCGAGGCTGTTGAAGAGAAACTGAAGTCACATTAAGATTCTGTGAATAATGATCAGTGCTCAAGATAACCATCTTGAGTCTTCCTCCCCTAATTTTACTGATGAGAAAACGGAATCCCAGGAATGATTAGTAACATATGGGTCCTAGAGCTGTGGTGAGGGTAATTCCCTCTCTTCTGTATTCCTCTTGATTCCAGTTGTCCCCTGGTGTTCCAATGAGAGCAGATGTCTGAGAAAAGCAGATAATGGAGGGATCCCTGGGTGGCCAGAGCAGAGGCTAAGCTTTCTCCCCACAGAATGCTCATGCTTGCTACAAGTAAGTCTTGAGCACAGCAGGAAGTCTTCTAGAACTCTGGAAACCCATTCTGGAACACAGACCCACATGAATCATCTCAGAGGACACAGAGCAGACTTGTCAGGTGCAGGCACAGGAAGAGCCCATGACATGACTGGGGAACAGGTACCAGGGACAGACCACTTGGTCTTTCCCAGCTGTGTGCAACTGCTCTAGATACTTAACTTCTCTGCACCTCATGTTCTTTATCTCTAAAGTCAAGTCACCATAGTACCAACCTTTTATGGTCATTGTGGAGTTCAAATAATAAATTCTGTTTAAATATCCTATAAAAAGCCTGGCATACGATAAGTGCACTGTAAATGTTAGCTATTAGTATTTTTGTGGCTTTTTCTTCTTCCAGTTGCTTCCACAACATTCTCCAACTACCAATTATAAAATATAATGTGTTGACAAATCAGATTGTAGCAAGATATCTATATTTACATATATGTGATTGGGTAGGTCTGCATACATATATTATTTGTACCCAGAAAGGGTAATAACCAGTGCCTGCAAATGAGGAGAGATTCTGCAGGCTGTTGAAGACACTGAAGTGCACCTCCCCCTGCAGATAAGCTTTCTCTTCACACTGCAATTTAGTATCAATACTGGCAAGACAGACTGTTATTTTCCATTTTTAGCTTTATACATTTCCCCCCTTTTTCTCAGCTCTAAATTTCCTTCAGCTCTTTTCTCTGTCAGTTAATTCACATCCAGCAAAATGTGTTATTTGTAGGTCTAAGGCATATGCTTAGTGGCTTTCAAAATATTTTTTTGCCAACAGCTTAACATGGGACTTCACTGTGCTGAAGGATAAAGGAACACCATACTCTTACATTCTGTAAGGAAGATGAGACCATTTAAAACCTTATGATGATTTCAACAAAATGACTTAGTTAATGTGTCAACATTGAGAAGAAGTGGGTATGAGCCGAGAAATCATCAGAAGGGCTGCTTGGATCCTATCATCAGATTTCTGAAAATGTTCATGTAGTGACCTCATTGGTGTGACATTGGTAGGCGAGAGAAAAGTGCTGGAACCATAATATTTACAATGCTGTATCAATGGGCAATGAAAACTCCTTTGGGTAAGGGATTTGATAATTGCATTGAGAATTTCACACATTTTCTGTGCCCACCAAGCTACTACAGCTAGTCTACATTAAAGGAGACTAGAGTTTGTTGCAACCCCCTCTCCTAGCACCAACAATTAGAGACTGTAGGCTTATTCAAAATAAAATACCTCAGTTTAAATGACAGCAACATCAGGCAATTATGGCCACTGTCTCCAGTTTCATGCGATCGCTGAACTCCAAGGAGGCCCAGGCAATTTGAACTCAACAGTGACACCCTGTCCTGTCTTTTTTCATCTCCCTCCTTTAAACTGAATTTAAATGCTGTGGAAACCAACGGCTACCTAGACAATCCCGGTCCTTTGTTGTCTGACTAACTAGATTAGTAGATGCAGCTGCTTCTCTTCATTTCTATCAGCGTTTGACACTATGAATATTGGTAGAAAGGAGAGAATTAGCAACGCAAGCACCCTACATGCCTCAGAGACATGCGGTAGGTGATATCAACTACTCTGATAGCTATTCCTGGAAAAGAAACCAAGGTCTAGGAAAATGGAAATGAGCTGCTCAGGTTCACAGGGTGAGCCCAAAGTACAGTAAGAAGAGCATCCAGGCCAGACCTTACCTTCCACACTGTTTTTCAAAATTAACTTTTAAAACATCACTCGGGCTATTATGTTTCCAGTTTAATGGTGGATAAGAGTACGGATGAAAATGGTTTGCTTAATGCCATGAGGCTGATTCTCCAGAACAAAGTCTGCACCCTACATTCATGTTCCATAAGCACTCCATTCTGCAGCTTTGTTAACAAGAGTTCATCTGGAGAACATCACGGCTGAGACCAATAGTCACCAACGCTCAGCCTCACCATACAAAAAAATAAAGTAAAATAAAATTCCTGGGGAATATAAGAGTAAGTAGGTTCTAGAGCAGTATTTTTTATTTTTATTTTTGGAAAATCACAGCCTCCAGTGAGAGTTTAAGGAACATTCTGGATCTTCTCTCTAGAAAAATGCACATATGCAAATACATAGCTTTGTCCACAGTCTGGGATAAGAATATAATTTGGGGGATGTCTGAAGCTTCTGTATTTGTGAAGAAAAGATATCTTTAAGTATTAAGGAGTTCCTTTAAGTTCCTAATTTAAAAGAATGAGGGTATTTTGTTACTATTTGTTTTCTCAAGCTCTATGGTGTGCCTTTCTGGATGCTTTAGTACTGGCAGTGGGTAAGAGATCCTGTCAGGCCTGTGGAAGCTTCTGAGTGTTATTTCAGACTCCTTTCTCTTCTCTTCGGTGTCAACTGTGGAATTTAATCTTTCATGTAGAAGGTGCTTTATTTAAGGGTGTGTAAGTAGTTCAGAAGGATTCTCTTTCTGACCAAGGCATCTTTACCCTATTTTCCGAGAGTATAAAGTGGTAGGTGCTATCTTTAGATTGTCTTTATTTGGAGGTATGATTCTTCTACTAAGTGCCAACATCACTTAAGAGAATATTAGCTTGCCTACAGACATTAACGAATTTATCTAGAAGAGATATAAATGATTCTAAAATATGTAGGCAAAAAGAGAAGAACTTAAGTGCTCAGATGTTATGCCTATGTATCCTGACACTTCTGTGAAATAAAGCATAGGATATATTTTCTATGTTAGTATCTTAGTTTCTAAGGAAAACAAGAACAAGGGGAAAAGTACCACTTCTAGAAGGTGGTTCTGTAGCTGCTTATCTATTATTATATGTTCTCAAGAGTGTCTTTTTTTTTTCTGTGATACTGGGGATCGAACCATGGGCACTGTAACACTAAACTACACCCAAAGCCCTTTATTATATTTTATTTTGAGACAGCTTTTCACTAAGTTGCCCAGGCTGGGCTGGAACTTGAGATTCGCCTGCCTCAGCCTCCTAAGTAGCTGGGATTACAGGTGTGCACCACATACCTGGCTGAGCCTCTTCTCTGGATCCCATCAGAGCTGCCATTTGATTTTATTGCAAAAGTTGCCCCCTGGTAAGATTGCTAACATCTGTGAATGTATTGTGCACACTTACTTGGGAACTTGTGCTCGTGGCTGAGAGCAAGTAAACGTTTCAATTCTGTAGGGAGAAACCGAAAACAATTACACCTTGAACTACTAAAAGTCACTTGAGACTAACTGAGAAATTAAAGCAACATTAGAATTGTGACTGAACTGATCTTAAGCTTACCTTCCTCATCTATTACGTAGCTTGATGCTATCCCGTCAGTATCTGTTACATCACAGGAGTAAATGCCCAAGTCATCCATCCCGAGGTCTTTAAAGGTCAATTTTGTCCTGCAGAATAAAAAATATACATATATATATTTTTTAGAAATGGGGCCATGCCAGGACTGTGGGCCTGTGTTTCTCCCTCTCTAGGCATCTTTGTGGGTACTCTTTTCATTTGGAATACTTGTCTTTTCCTCCTTGCTGAGCTGAAGCCTGTTCATTCTTGATGTCTCAGGTTAAATGTCATTTCCATTTAGAAGACTTTCCTGACCTCTTTCCAGGGGATGATGGTGAAGGAGGTGGGGCTAGTACAAATCCCCCATCTCCAAGCCATGCTTCATACTAACACACATCCCGCATAAAGACATTTCACTGATTAGCCTTGCTGGGGGGACCTAAATATCTCTCCCATAGTACAGAATGTGCTATGGATATCTCTGGATGCTTCTCTTATGATGTCCCCTGTTCTTCCTTTTCTGAATTTATTATACAGTGCTAGTATTGTCAATCTCTGTGCCTCCAGAGACAGGATCTGTGACTGTGGTATCCTTAGATCCAAGCACCTTGTCTGGCACATAACATGTTGCGTGAATAATGAAAAGACCAATGGTCTAGTTCATTATGTCTTGTAACTTGGCAAACTTTATCACTAGTCTGTGTTTAAAATCAACCAAACATGTAAATGTTAAGTGCACAAAGTAGAAAAAAATATTATAGTTTGATTGCCTTTTCTTTGACCAAACGTATTTGACTTCAAGAATTGTGGAAGGTACTTCATGCTCCTATAGTGAAAAGGAAACCCATCATTAAAATGGAAACAATCCTTACTTGTTGCCTTTGCTTTCAACTTCTAATCGTGGAGAGTCCTCAGTGGATATGTAATCTTTGGACCAGGTGAATTCTGACTTTGGAGTCATCTGATCACATTCAAAGTTCAATGAAATGACTCCATCATCATCCACATTTACAACAACTTCTTTGGTTCCTAGAAGATCAAAAAGAAGGTACTGATACTTTGTGGCAGCAACCAACCAAGTGAGAATTCCTTACCTTGGAATGTTTTACTTCAACCTGAAAGCAAGGTCCTGAGCCTGGCAAAGAAAGAGGCCCAATTGATCACTGTGGATGGACATTCTTGCCTTAAAATTCAACTCCTATATTGTAACACAGACTTAAATTAACGTGCCGTGTAGGTAAAGTCAACACCATGAACAATGTTGATTGGCCAGGACCACGGAAAAATTGGCTGATATGACAGGTGGTACAATTAATTGTGGGAGTGGATTGATTACAATAAGGAGACAAGACTGCCTTGAGAAAAAGGAAAACTGACTCTCAGGTCCTAATTATAACTTTTGCTTCAATAATATCCATATCCAATAAGTCACCAGGAAAGGATCGAAAGGGACAAAGAAACTAAAGAGAAATTGAAGGGGAGACAGAATAAGACTTGCCTATGTTCACGTTGGGAATTTGTCAGTTATTTTAGAATTGAGAAATATATGGGAACTTATTATGTTGATCATATAAACATAAATCCATTTAAAAATGCCCTTCTGGATTAGAATGTTAGCAACCTAGAAAGGCTGTTATTGAACAGCATGAAAATTTAAATAGAAATGAGTTTCAAGAGATGCAGTATGTTTCAAGAAGACTAGTGTGTGAATTTTAAAAGAAAACAATTTGGTTAGTGTTTTCAGTTATTTTATTCTTTTGAGAGTTATAATAAATTGCACCTGTCTCTAATATCACAAATCAGAAAGAGTTTGTACAGATTAGAAAACATTCGCATCTATGCCTAAATCCAGTTTGAAAAAAGCAAAACATTGTACTCAAACTTATATACTCATTCAATTGTCAGCCTGAAATTGGTTTGTTTCAGTATGTTAAAAAAATTATAGTCCCAGAAAGGTATGGCTTTATTTTATTATTATTATTATTATTTTTTGGGGGGTGGGTGGGTACCAAGGATTGAACTCAGAGGCACTCAGCCATGGAGACACATCCCCAGCCCTATTTTGTATTTTATTTGGAGACAGGGTCTCACTGAGTTAGTTGCTTAGTGCCTCACTTTTGTTGAGGCTGGCTTTGAACTTCCTATTCTCCTTCCTCAGCCTCCCAGGCTGCTGGGATTACAGGCATGCACGACCGTGCCTGGCTTATTTTTAAAAATATATTTTAAATTTTTCCAATACATATCTCACAAAGGAATGATGTTTTCTCTTCCGACTGTATTGTAGGAGTCCAACATCTTGGTCTACCATCAATAAAACTTGTCAGTGGGAAAAAGGTGTCAAAATCCTCTGAGGGGAAGGCCAAGAGGAAATGTGTGCCTGAATTGTAAGTAGCATGAGGAACATGATCATGGTTTCTGAATCTGACAGATGACCTAATGAGGATTCTTATGAATGGCAGTGTGTGCTTCAACTATCAATCTCCACAAAGTGAGAAGTTTAGTGAACACTAGCTCTAGGAGATGTTTAAAATTTCTTCAAGAAACAAACAGGGGCTGGGGATATGGCTTAGTGGTAGAGTGCTTGCCTAGCATGCACAAGGCCCTGGGTTCAATCCATAGCACCACAAAAACAAAAAATACAAACAGGATGATTTCCTATTTGGCTATATAAATAACCTAAAAAAAATGATCAAATAAACGTTTAATTGTTCCTTAAGTGAAACATTCACTATGTCCTTTGTAAAGGGCTTAATCTACTCCATAGTAAGTTGCAGACCAGGGTTTATTTCTATTATTGATAACACATGACCAATCCTCATATTCCTTTGTTGTAAAATAAATATTGAATAAGCATTCTTATTAAAACTTCAGAGAAGAGTGTGGTGGTTTACATCTGTAATCCCAGTGACTTGGGAGGCTGAGGCAGGAGGATTGGAATTCAAAGCCATTTCAGCAACTTAGGGAGGCCCTAAGCAACTCAGTGAGACCCTGTCTCAAAGTGAAAAAAAAAAATTAAAAAAGGGGAGGGTGGGGAGCTGGGGATGTAGTTCAGTGGTTAAATGCCCCTGGGTTCAATCTCTGGTACCAAAATAATAAATAAAATAAATAAATAAAACTTGAGGGAAAAAAAATGAACACCAAAGAGCGTTGAGGCTTAGTGTTATAATACACAGTTTGCATGGCTGAGTTGCTGTAAGAATATAAATCAAAGATTTTTTGTTTATCTGTATTGTTATGAAGAGGAAAGAAGTCTTAGGTGTTGACTAAATCTTTCTTGATTTTTGCATACTATCTATTTTGGAAGCATAACTGCTCATATTAATCATTCATTATCTTAGTTGTAATCCTTCTTAAAAGGGAGTGAATCATCCACATTCTTGCTGTTCAGTGTATTAAAGGCATGACTTGAGTTTACAACATAAAAATATTGTTTGGGTTAAGAATCTTGATGTTGACTAACATGAGAGATTGGATTTTTCTGCCAACAAAGGAGTCATAAAAGTGAAAGAATATGGACAATTCCATTAGCTTTGCCTTTTTCTCAGTTCTGTAGATAACCTTTGTACTATAAAAGCTCACCCATTTGGCCTCTTGCCAGAAACCAAGAAATAAGAAAGCATGTCTCTGCTGATGTGACAAAGTCCACTTGCTAGTGTCCTGCACACACACTGAAGAATTCCATAGATCCTCACATGGAATCTAAACATCACTGGAGAAAATTCTAACTAGCCTATTTTGTTAGTTTCCCTCAGTAGATTAAACTAAAAAAAAATGAGAAGGAAGTAAGAAGCTACTATCATTGTAAGGAAAATGAGAACAAGCCGGAAAACTAAAAAACAGGCACAAAGACATTATTTCGTAGAGGGATGAATTGCATCTCATTCCAAAATGACATCACTTATTGCAATACTGCTCCATAAATAAGGTTGGTACTTGTGGCTCTGAGCCATACAGAAAAAGGTAAGTATGATAGTATGATTCAGCAGACTGCATCCAAGGAGACTGAGAAATGCTCACTGAAATGTGGAACCTATTTTTAAATAATTTCATCAAAAAAATCTTAAAATGACATTTTAAAGCATGGAAGTATAGAACAACTGGAATTTAAAACCATGATTTGCTGAGGTTTCTGAGCCAAATTTGGTCCCACACCCAGTGTGACTTGGAGAACAGGATAGCCCTGCTTAGCTGTTGGAAAATATAGAGCTATCTTAATGAAGTATTCTGGAAAATGAAAATTTTAAAAGTAACTGGTTGATCTTTTGTGAAAATATGAAGTAAAACCAAAGAAGTTACCTATTTTCCTTTTAAAATGAAAGATAGTATTTTTAAACAATATTCTTCTATTTTTTTAGTTGTAGATGGACATATAACCTTTTATTTATTTATTTTTATGTGGTTCTAAGGATTGAACCCAGTGTCTCACACATGCCGGGCAAGTGCTCTGCCCTTGAGCTACAGCCCCAGCCCAAAAGATAGTATTTTTTAAGTTTCAAACAATAGATGTGGAAAATTAAACTGACATTGCCTTTGGGAAAAAAAAGACTCATCCTTCCTTCTGGGTTTATGAATAGAGAAAAAAAGTGGTTTTGGAATTTTTATTTTATTTATTTATGTTGTGTGTGTATGGTACTGGAGAAACCCAAGGCCTTATCCCTGATGCTCTACCATTGAGCCACATTCCCAGCTCTAGTAGACACTTTAGAGAAGTTACTTGGGACAACAAGGAATAAATGTGAGAAAGCAGGAATTTAAAGCAAAAATATATCTTTTGAAAAATTTAAAAGTAGGCAAAACAATTAAAATATGAAGTTGGAGTTTTCTTTCATATGGATGTGTTAGACTATAGATTTCCCTCTCTATAATAAGAGAAGTGGAGTTGGTCATCTGGAGGGCCAGTCTTTCCAGATACTAAAATCTAAGAGTAATTAACAATATAACTCCTTAAGTAAGGGGTCCTGAATACATAAAAGGCAAAAAATTCTTTTGCAATTTTACAAAGACACATGATATTCAAATGGATGATCTTTTATATAAATGCTAGAAAAACCAAAACCAGTGTATTAACCTATAAAGCAACAATGGCATTTCTAACATGCCCCAGGCTAACTCTCCAGATAACACCTTAGGGAGATTAAATTTGTACAGTGTTGGAGAAAAAGTCCAAGAGAAAAGTATAGCTGTAACATTCTCAAAAAAAAAAAAAAAAAAATTTTTTTTTTTTTTTTAATGTCCCAGGGTTTAAATGAGCTTGGGCCAAGAGCTGAGGTAATGTCAATTAATTCATGGCTGATTCATTCTCTAAGTTGATTAAAGTATGAACAAAGTGATTCAGATACTTAATGGGCAGGAAGCAAGTTTGATGTTCTACTATCATCTTAAAGGAAACCTAATGGATTCCTTCCAGACTAAGGTTGTCCCACTTTTTACAGAAAAGTTGGGCTTGAAAAGTGAACTAAAATTTGTCATGACTTACATTTTCTAAAAAATGATCTTTGAATCTGTTCAAGAACATGAAGAATGCAATAAAAGAGAGATTTTGACTTGCAAAAGAGTTATAAGAGTTGTCCCTAGTCAACTGCTCAACCCTTAACAAAGCCCTAATAAGGACACAGGAATATCCAATCACACAAATGGTATCTTAGCAGTCTTCCAAGAGCCAGGAAGCCCCAGTCTGAACATGAGTTAAGATGTGGCCCAGGGTTACTATGAGCTTTTTGAAAATTAGCCAACTCTGCCCTACTTTTCTCTCATATAAATTTTTCTTTAAAAGAAAAAACATAGAATTTAAAAGGTGAAATAAAATCTCTGTAAACTGCCTTCTTCTATACTTCCTAATTTGATATGAGGCTTTTTGTCTCATATTGTTTAAAGTCTTTTATGTCAACATTAATGTATTGTTTTATATGCTGTATAGCTATTTGTCCTTCTCCACTGTGTGTGTGTGTGTGTGTGTGTGTGTGTTGTTGTTGTTGTTGTTGAGAAAAACCTAAAGAGTGGCTAGAGTCAAGCATATGGAAGTGTACTGAGATGCCCCGTTTGTGGTGAGGATTGCTGCCTGACCCCCTGCATCCCTTACTGGATGTTTCTTTCCCAGTCAGTCCATCCTTTATAACCAGGACATGTATCACAACATGCCCAGGGAGAAGTGTACATACTGAGTCACATTCACTGGCTAAACATAGTTGTTATTCATTATGTTTTTGTTTAGTAGATTAACAATATATACTATACCAGGTACTATGCCAGACTCTCAGCATATATACAGAAAAGATACAGCTCCCTATTGGGAAGGTGCTCAGAGTCTAATGCCTACTTCTTGAGCCTGGTTTCAGACTGGAATCACCCAAGGAGTTAAACAAACAATAGGCTCAGCCTTAGAGATTCTGACTTAATTGGTCTGGGTAGCAATACTTTTGAAGTCCCTGGCATGATTCTAAATTACAGCCAAAGTTGAGAACTACTGTCCCAGTAGGTGAAAGATCTATTAGTAAGCACATTTTAGGGTGGGTTTCTAAAGGAACCAGTTGAGCTCATTGCTAGGAGTTGGGCTGGCTTCCTGCTTCAGAGTCTTCCAAGACTCCACCAAGAGGCCCCTGGGTAATTAGTAGCTTTCTCAGCCTTACCAAGCTCTGGGCCAACCAATTGTTAGACTCTGGGATTGTAAAGTGCCCTTCATTACTAGGATGTCAGCTCAATCCCAACTCATTATTCCTTCTGTAAATGTATTCTGCTGACCTGACTTGTTCCTCATGACCAAGTGCTAGCATTCTGTGACCCATTTCTTTCTTGGGACCCTGCCTGGTGTTCAGATTCTTGCCCATCACCTGATTCTCCTGCCCACTGCAGTTTTCTCCGCTAAGAATACCTGCAGCCTGTACTGCCAGCCTGTTGCCCTCCTGATCACCTGCCACACCTTGGCAGGTCTCTCTCTTGGCTCTCATATGATCTGTCTGTCTCACCTGGCCTCTACCTCCATCCCTTGGCCTGATGCAATCAACCACAGATACTGCTTTAATAATATCAAATATCAGATGTGAATGTCCTTTTTGGTACCAAAAAATCTACCCCAAATATGATTCCACCTATTTATAGGCTTCTTTAGCTAAAGGATTTCATGGGAAAGCATGACATACTTTGTAGCAGTGGCTAGAGTACATCTACTTACATATTCTTTGACTTCAAAGGGAGTTCAGTGATCCGAACAACCCCCAATGGATTAGGTTAACTTTTAAATGGAATTCAGTTACACTTGAGGTATCCTGTTAGAAGTATTTGCAGTTTGCTGTTACATGATAAGCTTGATTTTCTATCTGAAATTTTAATACTGGATACCAGAAGAAGTTCTTCTGAAACAGTGATCTAAGTTTTACATCCCAAATCTTGAAATTGATAACATGCCCCTACACTCCATCCATTCTAAAATAAATACATGAGAAAAAGTCATCTACTGGTATTTAATAAAATTACTAAACATAGCCAATTTTGGGCTATCTATATGCTTTCACAGGGACTCAAAAAACCTTGATACCTGGTTTATAGCCTATTTGGCTATGGAGATATATTATCCTAGCTCTCTCATCATACCATGTTGTAAACTCTGCTGTTGTTATAAGATTGTAAACTAGTATGCAGTAAAGATGACACATTACTCTACCCCCAGGGCCCACACAGCATCAAGCAACAGAAGGAATTCTAGAAATACATGTTGCAAGAAAGAATGTGCTTGTTGCCCATAAAACAAGTCCAGCATCACTGGAGTTTTGGTGCTCCTGCATGGGGAAGCATCTTGGCTTTGTGTGTCTCAGGATTCTTTTTCAGACTTCGAGCCAACGACTCCTGAACCCATCTATATGGTGCTGCTTAGTGTATACCTGTCTGCAGCTGCTGGTTGGAGTTACATTCTGGGAATGGAAGGGCCACAAAAATGACTTTGGGGACGGTCTTCCAGATCAGTGAAACAAAACTCGCACTCAGAGGGTCACAGATCCTTTCCTGGTGTCAAAATTTCCCTAGTGATGACACTGTTAATTTTATGCCTGGTCATCTGCCATTCTGAGGCTAGAAAAGAATGAATAAGAAATTGCTTTGTGCTTTCTTTAATCTGATTGGGAATCTACAGGTTAAAGTGTGCTTTTGATTTACCCATGACTAGACTAGTAGGAGTTGACTCATCGAGTAATCTAAATGTCGTTATTATGAGAGTGTAGACACTGCCCTTGGGTCCTCACATATGTCCATTTGGCACTTTTAATATCCCCAAAGTTGACAAATGAAGGGTCCTGTTTCTATAGGAGTATATGTCCCGGTGTCCCTTGTACATCTACTTTGACCTAGTGTATCTGTTCCTAGCATTTTTCTGCTTTCTCCTAGAATTTTGCAATGGTTACTTACTTGGAGTGTGGCACTTTTTCCAGACACCTGCCATACTTTTGTAAAGAAGGTCACCTTTGTCAGACTCATAGCTACAAACTAGTTTTCTAAAAAATATTTTTATTAGTTGTTGATGGATATTTATTTATTTATTTATATGCGGTCCTGAGAATTGAACCTAGTGCCTCACACATGCTAGGCAAGCGCTCTACCACTGAGCCATAATCCCAGCCCCAAACTAGTTTTAAGAGTTACCGAAAATAGTTATTAAGATGAAAGGGGCAGATGGTTCCTGAAAAGGTATACATTGTTTATACTTTTTGACTGACAAGTAGTAAAAATAGTTTCCTATGTTTACATTCTTTGCTCACTGGGAAAATAAATATTACATGATGTATCTGCTCTTGGTTCATTTCAATTCTGAAAATAAGGAAAGACTAAAGTGAAAATACTTGAACTAGGATGAATAAAAACTTAAAAATAACTGGTTAGGATTTTTTAATCCTGTTTTGCTTTCAATGCTTTCTTTTATGTAATTTTAAAGAACTGAAATACATAACTTTAAAAAAGAAATTGAATGATAAAAAAGAAATAGTTATTATAGAATGATCTGAAACTATAGGGACAATGAACATTATAAAGTTTGTTCTCATAATAAAGGAAAGACTGTCTTTTCCTGCTCAATCCCAGCATCTCTTGAGTCTGGCAAGTTGAGGGCTGTCTCAGCTCTGCAGACCATTCAGACAGGACTGTTGTTAGTTTAACCCATGGGTCAGCAAACTGTGGCCTGTGGGCTAAATATGGCTTGTTGCCTCTTATTGTATGGTCCACAAGCTTAAGAATGTTTTTGTATTTTGAAACAGTTGAAAAAAATAAAAAGAAGGTTTATATTTCAAGGCACATAAACATTATATAGAATTCAAATTTTATAATTCATAAAATGCATATTATTCAATGCATATACATCACGCACATAATAAATTTTATTGGAACACAGTCCTGCTCATCAGTTTATATATTGTCTATGGCTGCTTTCATGCCATGGCAGAGTTGAGTAGTTGTGATAGAGACCATAAAGCTGTAAAACAAAAAAATATTTACTATCTGGCCCTTCACAGAAAGTTTGCTGACCCTTGGATTAACTTAATAGCTGCAATTCATTTAAGGATTGTGCCAGTTAACTGGGCCATTTCAGCTTCCCCTATAATTGGAAGTATCTTATGGGACATAATGGCCGGGACATAATGGAAACAATTTCCCAGGAATTTTTGCTTGGAAGAATTGGTCCAGGAGGCATAATTTGATCCAGAATTTCTGTTATTTATTTTATTTTATTTACCGTGCTGGAGATTGAACCCAAGGCCTTGTACATGTTTGGCAAGTATTCGACCACTGAGCTACCTCCCCGGCCTGAATTTCCTGTTCTTAGGTGTGAACTAAAAGAGCCCCTGGATAATTTAAACCTGGTTCATCCCTATTCCAAGGTACTTGTGAAGAAATGAATGGTCCTATGCTAAGGTCATACATCTCAATTTCTTAGCTAGCATACGTTGCTGATTTTGAAAATCGGGAAAAGAATACAAAGTCAGGTTAAATGTTAGTACCCTACACAGAGAAGATGGATCTTTTTCTTTTCTTTGCAGTGATAGGGATTGAACAACCACTGAATTACATCCCCATCCAAGATGATTGTTAATGAAAAAGTCAATGCCCACCTGGACGGGTCTCTGCCACAACGGGGCCAGCGAGGTCAGATGGCTTGCCAACACCAGCCTGGTTGATGGCTCGGACACGGAACACATAGCTGACGCCCTCCTTGAGGCCTTGTACCTGGAAGAAGCAGATGTAAAAAGCAGTGGATGTTTTAGTTATTTAAACAGATGTGTTCTTCCTCTGTAATAACCATTTAGTCACATAGTACCAAAGACACAGGACTCGTGTTCTAGAGCTGATTCTGTCTGTGACTAATCACTCCATTAGCAGACTCTGGACTATCTTCTGTCTAGACCAGCCATCAATAGCCAAGGAGTTTCCCTTCCAAATCTGATGATCTACCTTCTTTTGATAATTTAATGGCTTCCAACAAAATACAAAATGGTCATAATAGCATATATGCTGCCCCCGCTCTTTTGAGATATTCCAAGAATAATTCAGATGAAATTCTTGGCAAGAGAGGAGAATTAAAAGCATGGATCACTGACACTTTCCATTTGCTTAAAAGCATGTTCAAGTACTAGAACAGAAAAAAAACCAAAAATCGTCCCTGTAAATCAAATATAGGTATTTCTTACTAAACAGACACTAACATAATTGTGACTTTAAGTAATTTGTGAATAATCAAAGTGCATTAAAATTTTAAATCCTCAAGCTTTTAATCATCAAAGAGACTTTTTCTGAGAACCTACTTCATATTTTTTGTATGTGTGTGTGTGACTTTCTTTGGATTTGGCACTGCATTTATAATTTCTTTCTCTGAGTTCTGAAGTGCATTTGTAATTTCTTTCTTTCTTTGGATTCTGCATTTACACTCTATTTTTGTATGACAGTCCCTCTTCATATTTTTTGTGTGATTTTTGGGGGGATTTGCACTGTAATAATAACGGTATGATTCCAGTACTAATAATACTATTAACACTTTAAAAAAAATCATCCTTTTATTTTAAAAACACATGACATTTAAAAGTGATATTGTATTTTAAGAAGGAATTTATTACACACAGAAGCCATAATTTTCTACCTAATCCTGTGATGGAGATCAATATCCCTAACAGGATTTAAATCAAACAGTGCTGGAATACATTTATTCAATTAAATGAAGGATTTGGGGCTGTGTATTTAAATGAGTCATGCATTAAATTGTTAGGTTTTTAATCGATTTGATTTTATTGAGCTGATGACAACAGAACATCACTATTTATGTAGTGATAGCTTTCCCTCCAATGAATGGATTTTGAAGTGAATTTCAATTTGTAAATGAACTTGAACTTAGGCACAGGCTAAATGCATAGCATTCGATATGTTTAAAATCCCATGTTCATAAATAATACCAGTAAGCTGCGAATTTCCAGAAAGGAACAGAAACATTTCCTTGTTATGATAAAATAGGCCAACTGCCAGATGTCTGACACATCTGCACCTGCTGTGTAGGTGATGCGTGGCTGAGGCAGGTGTCTGCAACACGTGCAGGAAGGAGGTCTATAGTCTAGTGTCTGATGCGACAACAACACACCTCCACATTTCCAGTACTCCAGGGACGAGAACCACTGGCCCCAACAGCACCACAAATACATAGTCTATGTGACCTGTGTACACTTACTCTTCTTTCCTTGGGTTTTCCCCTTCTCTATAATTTCCAAATTACATCCCCTTACCTTTTCCATCCAATGTCCCCCACCCTTTCCAATTACTCCCTTCTCACCATCTCATCTCATCAGGTGGTAATTACCAATAAAAAAAAGGAAAATGAACTCTGTCTGGTTACATCCTTTTGGTGTGAATGCAGTATGTAAATGACTGAATGACTGTGGTGAAGTCACACTTCATTGCAGGTAATAAGCAAGGGGCTCATATTCCTCAATAGCTTCTGAGGCCCTACTGTAGATCTGGGGGGTCTTCAAGTGCTCTGCCAACAACAGAGGGAAACATTCTTTTTGGGACAAGTGAGCAAGTCAGTGGTTACAGCACAACAATCTTTGGCAGACAGAGTTAGGAACTGGTTTGGTTAGGATACACTAGGGGAATCCAGAGGGCAATGACCCAGGCAAGGGCAAGGCAGGTCAAGCAAGAGCTGAGTGAACCCGTGCTGCTAATCTCCAAGAGCTCATGAGAGTGCAAGCATGAGGCAGCAGGTGAAGTGAGTCAGGATGTGACTCAAAAGAGCCCAGTTTCTATGTTCTGGTGTGACCTCTATAAAAACAGCTCCCTAAAGTGAAAAAAAAAATTTTTTTGAGGTAGGAATAAAAAAGTCACCTTTTGGGTAAGTTGAAGCATGGAGGGAAAGGACGCGGATAGAAAGAGCTGGTGGATGTTTTGCAAAACTAGGCTGAGGAATTCAGCTTAAATATCACCGACTGTTTCAAGCATCATAAAATTCCTGCAATTCTAACCATTGCCAAAAGGAATCTTACCAGGAGCCCAATATTTGAAATAAACCAAAGCAGAGAGAGTGGTTTTTTTCCCCCCATCTTTAAAGTTAATAGTAATAGAACACTTTTCCTTTTTAGAGGATAAAAACATGCTCTAAAAGCATTCTCTACCTTCAGGTATTTGTTTTTAATGGCTGCCTCATTGAGTCCTCGCCATTGGTCATCTTTGGCATTGGTCTCCTTAATGTCCACAAAGTAACCGGTGACTGGGGTCCGTCCAGAGTGGACAGGAGGCTTCCACTGCAGAACCAGCGAGTTTTTCCTGACTTCACTATACTTAAGACTGTGAGGTGGTCCTGAGAAAGAGAGAGAAGGGAATGAATAGAAATCATAAGGTAAATCAGAGAACTCAAATATGCAAAAATTTACAAGTACATTTAAGGTCTTAAAGCTGAATCTGATGCTGTGTGTGTGTGTGTGTGTGTGTGTGTGTTTTAAATCTAGCATTCCCATGAAAATAGATATTTAGTGGTCATTTCATAGCAAATTTCCACAACTGTTCTACATCAATTAAGTTTTTTCATGGAGGGCAGGTGGGTAAAGATACTTCTAGGAGCCTGAATTAAAACTTCCCATCATGCTGTCCTTGGACCTGTTAGTCATCTTTATCAGAACAGGCTAGTTTAGTTGCAGATTCAGTTTTAGGTTATTTTTGAGTGAAACTCCCCTCAATCTCAAATAATTTGAAGAAAGCAAAATAGTTTGGTGGTATTGGTAACTGAACCCAGGAGCACTCTACCACAGAACTACATTACCAGCCCTTTTTTACTTTTTGAGACAGAGTCTCACTAGTTGCTGAGGCTGGCCTTGAATTTGTGATCCTCCTGCCTTAACCTCCCAAGTTGTTGGGATCACAGGCATGTGCTACTGTGCCTAGCTGAAAACAACTCTATTTGATGGCATATAAACATAGACAGTAATTGAATGAATATGAATAACCACCAATTGGAGGGAATTCTCACAAATGGGTAAAAAACAAATGACAGATTATGGTTTATAAAAATAACTTGCACCAACATAAAATAGAATCAATCCCATGGTCCCTGAATCTGTGTGAAATATTGTTTCATTCATCCCATTTACCCAAGTAAGAGAAAGCTCAGAAGCCTAGTAACTTAATACTCTCTGAAGGGAGAAAGCCAAGATATGTCCCTTGGGCATGCTCTTTGCATTCTTAGGGGGAGTCCAAACTACTATGTGATCGCCCATACCTTTGTGTGACCACCAGCTGCTACTTAGGTGGTATACTTATTTCTTTTCTTTTTTAAAACTAGCAACTGATGTCTCATCATCCAATCAAAATCACCTGAAGTGACTCACAGTGACCTGAAAGCAGCTATAAACACAAGATTGTGTTTATGCTTTGGCATTTTGCAACTAAATGGTCAATATTTGTTTGACCATTTACCTCGACTCAACAGTTTCAAATACACATCATCCTTGTCTTCCGATATCTTGTATGGAAATATATTTAAATATTCCACCATATACCTTACACTAGCATGGCGTATTCTATCTGGCAAAGGGTTTTAATGATCATGATCTTGTGTTATCCTTAGAGCTCGGTGAGGCATCCAAGTATGCAGCACTATCCTACTTGAGGGAAGAGAAACTAGGTTCTGCTGCTTCCTAACATCTCTTGTCTAGCAAAAGGAAGACCTATTTTGCAGTCCTGATTCTGTCATTTACCACCTGTGTGACCTTCCGTGCATCATTTAACTTGAATCTCAGTTTCTTCATGTGCACAATGGAAAGAAGATACAACATTCTTTTTGCTATCTTCTATAAAAACTCTGGATGCATAGCTTATCCAACACCAAGTCTGGTTGTCAGGAGAGTGGAGGACTGCCTCATTTGTTTCTTGTTCAGAGTGCTCACCCTACAACTTTTTTTTAAAATCAGCTACACCATTTTCTATCAAAACATTTTCCACAGGCATGCTTAGAATTTCTAAGACTCTGGTCATTTGCATTTTTACCTTTATTCAGGAATTGCAAGACTTTGAAAATAGATCCACTTTTGTGTAGGTGGCAGAAAGAACTTAAGAAATATCTGCAGGCATCGAGGGGATGTAAGAAAAGGCAGTTTATATGCCTTATAGTATTTGCTGAAGTTGAGTGAGGCCTTAAACCTCTCTTGAGTGTCTCTTATAAACTTTCCATTCACACTTGGCAGAGAAGTGATGCAGCTGGGGGCTCACTGGGTGAAGGTAACACGATGGTTCTTCCAGGACACAGGGGTTCAAGTAGAGGAAAGAAGGGAAGGCCAGGGATAGGGCTGCCATCTACCCTGGATGCCCTCACATGGCCTGGGGCACTAATGTGGTCTATTTTGATGCTATGCCAGTGGTTAAATGTGCTGCATATCAAACCCCATGGGAAGATTTTAATCATCCTGGGACACATCTGAAGTCAGTACCATTGGAAACAAAATGAAATCACGCATCAAACACATCAGCATTGCTAGTTGGAATCTTAATGGCTTAGCAAATTTGTTTGTATTCAGTGATTAAACTTATTCAGTCTTACAGCTCTATAAGAGGTGTCAACCTAGGTGAGTCGTTCTGCCTACTTCCTGTTTTCTTTCCTCCCACCTTCAGCCACCTCCCTGTGACCACCTGCAAAGGAGATTATTTTCCAGTCAAATTTGAGGGGGGTGGGGAAGAAAGGGAGGGAGGAGACTTGAGAAGTCACCTCAGAGGGTCAAATGGAGAGAAGAAGCAAGACTTAAGTCCCAGGCAGGCACAATATATCCATCTACATAACACAATAAACAGCTGGGAAGAGGGAGGAGGACAGAAAATGAGGAGGAGCAGCCACATAGACTGGGTCTAGAGAGAGAGATTTGGGGAGTTGATAAATGAGAGGCTTCAGAGCACTGGGAAACTGCATAATGAGGGATGCAAGAAGCTTTTCAGAAATTTTGTTGTGGGAATTTGAATTGGATGTCCTTTAATGGCCTTTAAGAAGCAAAAGCAAAGATTGTGATTTCTTTTAAATGCTTACTTAGCACTCCAATTGTGTACTTCTGTCAATCCTACTCCAAGCATAGTTTGAGATATAGGGGCTCTGGGATTTATTTGGAACACAATCTTAGGAATTGATTCTCAATTTTATATTGCTATCCATTTTTTTGATATTGTTATAAAAACTTTAGGTTAGCATGAGGGACTCAAGAGAATTATTTTCTCTTAAATGTAGTACTTCAATTGAGTCTCATGTTGTAGGTTCTGTTACAAGAAACTCCAAGCCTCAGTACCGAGGCAGGGTGTCCTCAGTTTACCTGGAACGGCAATGGTCCACTCTTCACACTTGAAACTTTCGCTAACTGCTGAGGGTGCTCCCAGTCCAGCGATATTCATTGCGGCCACTTGGAACTGATACACCATGTTTTCCTTCAAGTTGCTAATCTGCAACATCAACAACATCACAGTGAGGGAATGTATCAGGATTGTGTTTTCTTGATGTTTAACATTTTATTTATTTACCTCCTGTCTCAGGAATATCCTATGATGACCTTGTTTTATTCTAGTTGTTCAATGTTTTATTTATTTATCTCCTTGGGTTGGATACACCCAAGGGCGGCCCTTCGTGAGTCACAACATTTTGTAATCGCCTCCCTGGGGTGTAGATGAACCCATGACCTGCTTATAGCCTATAGAATATGCTATAACGTATTAGAGTTTCAATCCTTGTGATTGAGTCATTGAGTCCTTCTCCATTGTCATATTACAAAGGAGAAGGGATGTTAACAGAAAGAATTGAGGTCCTTAATCAGCTGATTTTGTGTTAATCAAAAGAGAAATGATCCTAGGTGAACCTGATGTAATCAGTCAAGAACTTTAAAAATGGGGCTTGAGCCCTTCCTGAAGCAAAATTTGTCCTTTTTCTTTAAGAAGAAACAAGTAAGTGACTAGCATTTGGAGTAGGGAAGCATGGTGGAGTCCAAGCCTTTTAGCTCTATAGTTTCAAGGAAGTGAATTCTGCCAACAGTCTGAAGAAACTTGGAAGAGGACTGAAGGCCAACAGGCACCCAAATTGCAGCCTTGTGAGAACCTTGTCAGAAGACCCAGCTAGGCCTTTCCCAGACCCCTGACTCATGAACACTATGACATTAGAAAAAAAAAAAAAAAAAAGGTTGTTCTAAGCCACAACATTTGTGGTTATTTGTTATGTGTCAATGGAAAACTAGGGCATGTATAAATGAAAAATTAGTTCTAAGTCAGGAATTACAATACTAAAGTTCTTATTACACTTCTGCTGTTTACTGTGTGACCTAATATTTTCTATATCCATTGGATGGAATGGGGTTCCTGCAAGGGTAAATGTAGATGACAAAGTAGCAGATGTGAAAGCATTTGCAGAATAGAAATGATGGAATATGTTGGTGTGAAAAAGGTTTGTAGGAGAAGTACATCACAGAACATGTAAAATGTGACCTGGAAAAAAGGGAAAATTCAGCAAGAAAAAAAAATAATGAATGTGTTTAATTGAAAAATCAGATGCAAAGGAAGATAATTTGTAAACTGAAAGAAAATCAGAAGAAATTATAAAGACACCACAGAAAGACATGAGGATGGGAAAGAGAGAAGAGTGATTAATAGACATGGAAGAGAGAGCTAGAATATCAGACATATGTTTAACTAAAATTCTGGGAGAAGAGAGGAAGATGGGGTAGCAACAATATTCAGGAGATAAAGAATTTTCTAAAGAGGTCTTTCTGAAAAATTCAACTCACAGATTGAAGAATCCTTCCCCCAAATTTCTAGGAAGATACATTTTTAAAAAATATTTACTTTTTAGTTTTAGGTGGACACAATATCTTTATTTTATTTTTATGTGGTGTTGAGAATCGAACCCAGCACCCTGCACATGCCAGGCGAGTGCACTACCGCTTGAGCCACATCCCCAGCCCTGAAGACACATTTTAAAAGACAGATACTATTTCAAATGTAGTACACAAAAAATGAAGTGAAATATTAAAGCTGCCTAAAAAATACAAATTATCCTCAAATGCCATGTCAGAGGCAACAATAAGCCAGGAGACAGTGGAATTATCTTTATAAGCACCAAACAAACAAACAAACAAACAAAAACTACCATTATGGAATTTTTACCTCTAAGAAATAATTTTGGAGAATGAGAAAAGATAATTTCAAACAAACAGAAATAAAGAGCTTACATGTTTGTATAAATATGTCAAAATTGACTCTACTATCATGTATAACTAAAAAGAACAGATAAAAATAGTTTTAACAGCTAAAGAAATAAAGAATTTGATTTCAGAATAATCTCACTAAAGGAAATACTAAAATATTTATTCAAGGCAAAAGGAAATAATCTCAGGCTGGGATTGTGGCTCAGTGGTAGAGTGCTCACCTAGCATGCAGGGACACTGGGTTCGATCCCCAGCACCACCTAATTGTAAAATAAATATATTGTGTCCACCTAAAACTAAAAAAATAAATATTTTTTAAAAAAGGAAATAATCTCAATGGAATGTCAAAGATTAAGGATTAACAGCTCATAAGATGGTATAAGTGGAGGTAAATCTAAACAAATATTGTATCTCTAAAACAATGATCACAATACTATTTAGATTTTAAAAAGAACACAAGACACACCATGCAATAGTATACACCTTGGGAAGACGGTAAATGGGTTAAAGTATTATAAGGTCTTAATGCTTCTGAGACAAGAGTGAAACACATGGAGTAACAAAGATTCTAAGTTTGCTCAGTCACCAAAAACAAGCCAAAATCTCCAAATCTCTATCTTTTAAGGTAGTGTAGAGGGAAAATGAAATGGCTTTTAAAAATATTTAAAAGTAATCAAGAAAGAACAAAAAAAATCATATAACAGGAATAATAAATAGAAAGTATAAAATAAAAGTTCACGTTTTGCTTTTTGCAGAGCTGAGAATCAAACTCAGGACCCTGAGGCATGTGTTCTACACCATACTACATCCCCAGGCCCAGAATTTAAAGAAAATCTGTAGTAACTTTAAATATTTCTAAATGACAAAGACTGTCATACAGGGAAAAAAATCTAACTGTATGCTATTTATAAGAGACACATAAAAAACATAAAGTTACAGAAATATTGAAAATAATAAAATCAATTAAAAAAAGGAAATGAAAAGTTACATACCATGCAAATTCCAACCAAAAGAAAACCAGTGTACCAGTGTACTTATAATAATAACAGAAAATATAGACTTCAAGACAAAATGTATTCTTAATAATAAAGTCACTTTGTATGCATCTAATAAAGTCATTTCAAAATATGTAAAATGACATTTAAAATGAGTGAAGTTACAGCTCAACTAAGTGAGATTATCCTGCGATTTTCCCTGCCTGTACTGTCTTTGTCAGATATCAGTATCAAATTAATTCTAGTCTCAGGATAATCTCAATCACAACACAGAAGCAAAACCTAAATAATATTGACAATAAAATTTTGGTATATATAAGAAGAGTATATAATATAGACTGCATAATGTCCAAATACAATATATACCAGAAATGCAAGATTGTTTTGTTTTGTTCCCAATACTGAGGATTGAACCCAGAGGCACTTTACCAGTGAGTTACATTCCTAACCCTTTTAATTTTTTTTTTTTTTTTTGAGAAAGGGTCTTGTTAACTTGCCTGAGCTGGCCTCAAACTGGTGATCCTCCTGTCTCAGTTTCTGGAGTAGCTGAGATTAGATAATTACGAGAATTTACCACATTAAAATTAAAGGGAAAACTATGACCACTTAACAGACTCAGAAAAGCATTTTTGAAAAATAGTTTAAATTCATTCTTGACAAATTGGGAACAGAAGAAAACTTCCTTTAATGGGCAATATCGTCTGCAAAACACCTTTAGCAAACAGAGTAAGTAATGGTGAAATGCTTGAAAACTTTTCTTTTAAAATAAGGATCAAAATAAAGATCGCGTCTAGAATGGCCAGCATCACCACTTCTACATTTCTATTCAACATGGAGCTAGAGGCTTTAGGCATAAAGTAAGGTAAGAAAATGAAGTAAAAGAAATAAAAATTGGGAATGAAGTAAATCATTATTTGCAGATAATATGACTATGTCTATAGAGAATCCAAAAAATGTACAGGTGATGTATTAAAATTATATCTAGTGACATACTGCTTACATATTTTGTAAGTTTTGAAAGAAATTTCAGTTTTTGCAATAAGTATGCATTTAATAGTAAATATTCTGAGAAATTATGCTTATGTGTAAGAACCAGAAAATATAAATCCTGGGGCTGGGGATGTGGCTCAAGTGGTAGCGCGCTTGCCTGGCATGATTGAGGCACTGGGTTCGATCCTCAGCACCATATAAAGATAAAATAAAGATATTAAAAAAAAAAAAAAGAAAAGAAAATACAAATTCTGCCTGGTTAGCCAAACTACTTGTATGGACTGAGGAATATTTTTCATAAAAGTCATGCCCATGCAGAGGATGGACACTGAAGAATGGACACAAGTCCTTTATAAGGAGTGGGTGCATGCAAACACATCCTCATTCATAGGGCCTGTCACCCTAGGATGGTCACATGCTTACCTTGTATGCCTCGTCACTGACAGCCTTGATGTTGGCTTCTCTCCATTTTCCTGGTACCCCACCAATTACCTCACGATAGTTCACGTAATATCCAGTAATTTCTGCCCCTCCAGTCTTATCTGGTTGCTTCCATCCAAGAACCATCGAGTCACGAAAACTTTCAAGACAGGTGATGTCATAAGGTGGAGATGGTGCCGCTGTTGCAATATGAATAGCTCATGAGTAAGAGAAATGCACGCATGACGCTGTACATATGAAACTTGTTTGGTGCCCTGAATGAAGGTCTTGCAGTATAAAATGAAAATGTGAGACTGACTGATCAGTAACTTGGTATTAGCATGAGAAGAAAATGGACACAAAGTAATAATCTCATTGCAATTGTTATTTCAAATATTTAAAAATAGTACAATATCCTGAAAAATGATTTTTCCCATAAGAAGAAAAATTTCCCAAGGTATACATTGTTACTTCTTTATGTGGTTTGTTTTTATTTGCTCTCTGAGGAAAATGGAATGTGTACACCATTTCCTGTCGCAAATTGCGTATTTAGAATTTCCACATATTTCCAAATGTCTAGCACTTCATCATTCAGGAACACTTACCCTGGTGAGATCTCATAATTATGTAGGTTCTGTCTGCACTCAGGAAAAAAAATCTTATTTTGGAGCTCAAATGGATGCCACCTTTAAAAACTATTTTTTAAAAAGAAGGCACTATTTGCCATGTGACTTTCTCTTAGCAGATAATACTTTTTTGCCACATTATTATTTTTAAATTTTTTCTTATGCTGGGGAGGCAACCCAGGGCCACACACATGCTAGGTGAGTGAGTGCTCTGCCACTGAGCTACACCCCTAGCTCTTGTCACATCATCTTAAACTTGATGTTGGAACGTCATTCATGTAGCACAAAATACCATACGGCTGTCACTGTGTTTATTAGTGCCTAGCTAGAAAAATATTGGGAGGATATTTCAAAAGTCCTTCTACATTTATATGGCTATGCTAATCAACTTTTCACTTCACTTCTGAGCTTATTAGTTTTCAATGAAGAAAGAGAGGGTAAGGTGATAGAAATCCACCCAGCTATGCAATAGCATCAAAAATAATTCCATGAATATTTATTTGGATTATAGGAGATGAAGAAACAATCTCATTCTTATTCAAAAAGATCCTCAGAAAAGTGAAGATTTTTAAAATGAAATACATTTGTTTCTCCCCCCTACACTCACCAACTGCCTTCATAAACAGCTTTCTTTCCCTTTCTATTTCAGAGCCCTTGTGCATATGGACTCTCAACTGAAAATCCCATTCGTTTTCTTGAGTTAAAAGGACAAATAAATGTTAAAAAATAGAGGAAGTTATATAAGTGTGAGTGGGGGCAGAGAGAGGAGACAGACAGAAGCATTTAAAAATTTATCAGCATATGCTCAGCATTTCACTTGGATTAAGAAAAACATGGTCTCTTAGAATATATAAGGCACAGGTATCAGATATCCTAATCAGGTCATTGTCACCTTACTGACATCCGGGAGTGTGGACTGTGTATCATAGACTATGGCGCTATGTGATTATAATATCCTGTTAAGCTTTTCATGACAACTCAAAGAGATAATGATTTGAATTAAATGTGAATAGTCACTTGTAAACCTAAGAATGAGCAATAGAAGTTAATAACTATGATCCCGGTCACTTCTTGATGAAATAATTTTCCTGTACATGTACTGAACATGCGGACTCCAAAGAACCTCACATGGGCTCTAATATAAGTCCTTCCTGACCTTCTACGTCTCTTAGCAAAATGAGGCCACAGGTATGTCTGCCTGACAAACCAAAAAACAAAGCTCTGGAACCAAATTCCTCTAAACATTTTATCATTATTCAGCTCAAGGAATAATGCATAAATGTCTAACCCATCTCTGATTACTTTTATAATTCATTAGTCAACAGTATTTTGAATGGTTAGCTGAAAACATAACATTCAGAATCCACACTGATGGAAGTGAACACAGATGATGAAGAATGTGACCCGGACAATGAGAGGTGAGGACACTGATGGAGACAGATGGAACGGCTTGACTTTTCAATTCTCACCTACGAGGTCCTTCTTCCTTTTCTGGGGGTCAGACTGACTTTGCCCCTTGGGAGCTGCCTTCTGTGGTGGTGGGGACAGCTCTTCCTGAACTGTTTCACTTACTTTACTCACTTCTGTTTGGCCCAGGCTGGAAGGGCTACTGGGTGGTGAAGGTTTGTTAGGTTTGCTACTGGGCAAAGCAGCTTTCTGCAAGGTTGGTGGGGAGGCTCCATGCACGCCCCCCCTGGAGTCTGTTAGTCCATCAGGTGCATCACTCAGTTCAGGCCACACCTCTGGAGACACTCCTCCCCCTACAATCGCCAGATAACAACAGAAACGCTGTGAGCCTGGAGACGTGTACGTTACTCTTAGGTAACAGAACAAACAGAAATAACATCAGGACTGCAAGCAGAGCAAAAACCATCTTGGTCTGACAGAAATCACTTGGATTTACAAGAAATAGGGAGAGCACACATTTCCCATAATGTACACCAGGAAACATTTCAACTTCTCCATATTCTGGAAAAAAGAAGAAATGAGAACAAAAAAAAACCCACAGACATAGAACAGAAACCAGTTCTATTTGCAGAACCCAGAGGGTTTTTAGTTTATACAGAAAAACAAGTCTTAGACATTTCTTGAGATAGATAAGCTCTCTTATTCAACAGAACAGGAAAAAAAGGCAAGAGACATAATATTAAAAAAGTGTACAAGAGACATCATATGAAAGATCCTGATTTCATAACAGAATTATATTCATTACTACAACAGGAATGACCTGTACCTTCCAACTTCAAGAAACATGTCTGCTATTGTCCATATTATTATAAAAAATACTAGAGGGTCAGGGCTTATGGCTCAGTGGTGGAATGCTTGCTTAGCATGTGTGAGGCACTGGGTTTGATCCTCAGAACCACATAAAAATAAATAAATAAAATAAAAAGTATTGTGTCCATTTATAACTAAAAAAATTTAACAAAAAGGAAATACTAGAAAGTAACATTTGATATAATAGAAGACAACAGACATTAAATGATCTTTTATATATATATATGTGTGTGTGTGTATATATATATATACATACACACACACACACATATATATATATATAGTGCTGGGGATTCAATTCAGGGCCTTGAGTATGCTAAGCATGTGCTCTACCACTGAGCTACACCATCAGCTCAATCTCTTTTTAATATGTTAGCATATCACAGATTTTATTTTTGTTGGTCTGGATTACCCGGGTCCCTTCCTACTCTATCCAAAATTGGGAGGTACATCACACACATACATAGAATTATTTTATTACTGGTTTTATTCTGTTGGTTATTTTGCAAGCAGAGATGAAACATATGATTAAGCAACCACCTTACATGGATTCTAGAAGGGTTTGTAAGAAGCATGTTAGTGTACTGTTAGTGAAAACAAGCCAAGCTCTGTTGTAGATGAAATAGCTTTTGGGTACAAGATGATCTGGGTTATGGGTGATATACCACTTCATGGAATCAGGATGGCCCTCCACAGTCCCAGGATGAGCATGAAGTTAGAATGGAGTTTCACACAATGGAAAATATCTAAGGAAATGTGGAATTGTGAAGATGAAAAGGTTATAGATGTGCAGAATCTGGGTAAGTGATGAAGATCTGTCAATGACAGCTATGGAAGGTTAGATGTCACCTAAAGCCAAAGAAAATGATCATCTAAAGATGGAAGATGGAGCAGTATGAGAAGCTTTAGACGATTTCTGGAGGCTACGGTATCTTCTTTTATAATTTAGAGAAATTCACTTTTTTTTCCCTACCAAGTTATGCATAAGAAACTTACCAATAGCAGCTTTGACTTCAATAGCTTCTGAATCCTGGGAATATTCACTAAGTCCAGCTGCATTAACTGCTCTGACCCGGAAAATATAACTCTGACCAGTCACCAATCCATGACAGGTAAATCTAAAAGGGAAAGAAAGTTTCAAAAAGACTTTCCTAGGAAGAAAATTAGGGAAGATGATTACTAGTTTAGTTGAATGGTCTGAATTTATGAAAATGATCCATTTTTCAAAAGGAAGAAAAGATCTGTAGAGAGATTCAGGTAACACATGTACTTTAGACAAGAAGGCAATTAAATCAATTTTTAAAACTGTCAAAAAATGAGGACTCCTGGTTTTTCCCTTAATATTCACCAGTATAATGGGGATAATAACACCTACATAAAAATTTCATGTAAAGATTAGCTATAAAGTAGAAAAAATATCATTACAGGGTCTAGCATACGTGAGGTATTTAATAAATAATAGGTGGCATTAATGTTATTATTAATGGCTATTTCAGGCATATGCTTATGACTATAAGGCATTGACTGCTCTTCGTCACAGAGACTGTCTCCCTACATGCCAAAGAAGGTACAATTACTTGAGAATTACCCTGGAATCTGATAATAAGATGAAAAATGATTTCCAGAATTACTATTTAGATGTAAGTATGCAATAATGAGATGGGAATCCACAGGCAGTTTCACACATACAACAACCTTACTCTCCAATTGCTCTCATGGCTATAAATAGCTGTTTCATGAATCACTGTAATATTTAAATCCATCTAAGAACTGTAGCTTGAGGAAATAACAGGTCTGCTAATGACTGTATTACTTTTAGCTTGTTCAAATATTTATAAAGGCAGCCAGTCTTTCAGTGCTTAGGGTCAGCTTGGTTCTGCCAATATTTATTGAGCCCTCGAGTGTTAGGGGCGCTGAGATATTGTGGATATGACCTTTAAGCAGCTCCGGTCTGTTTGTAGAAGGGCAGACTCTGCTACCCTCATGAACGCTCCTGAAAAGCCCCAGGAAAATGCTGGAGAGCATAGACATTGTGTTGTAAGAAATGAATATTTTACAAAATATATTTCCTTCTCCCATTCTCTCATTTTCTACAAAAGAACCAATTCATCCTATGAGGTTGTTGACCTTAGAAGAGGCCCACGCCAGAAATTGCCCCCCAAGCCCATCTGATCCCCCTCTCAGACTGGTTCTAAATCAAAGGAAGCTCAGAGTGTGGGTGCAGAATTCACCACCAGTTTAAAAGCTGGTTGAGAATACAGTTGACAACAACACCAAAAAATGACCCTCCCCACGTTAAAAACAGAGACAATGAGGTGGCAAAGCATCCAGAATGTCCCTGTGTTGCTGTTTCTTATGTCAGCTTAGCATAGGATTTAATCATGGTGATGCTTAGAATTAGTAAAATGGTGATAGTTTTCTGTTCACGTATGTTTGGTAAAGCCTATTAGGTCCTTGGAATCTGGTATCTCATTCCCTATTGAAGCCCTGAACAGAGGGGGAAGAAAGAAAGAAATAATAAAAAGAAATAGAATCAGAAAAGAGGTATAAAACGAACTCTCAGAAGAGCTGCCATGGTTTCTAAGTGTTCAACATTACAAGCCAAACTTTTCGTCCCAAATGTACTCCATTCGACATGCTCCATTTTAAATGGATTTGGATATTTAAAGGAGATGTGTGGTATTTTTCTCTTTCTTAATCTCCCTTCATTAGATGTTTGTGCTGCAGTTTGGGCCCCCAGTGGCTCTAAAACACCCCATTTAATTACCGTGAGCCCTTTACAGGGTTGTTGTTGCAGGGCTCCCACTTGCCAGAGCCAACGATGCTTGACTCGATGTAGTATCCGACCAGCTCTTGGGCATCTTTGGACTCCTCCCAGGAAACCACCACTGAGGTGTCTGTGTTTCTGCTTGGGATGATTTTGCCAGGGGGCTTGGGGATATCTGAGTAAGGAGAAAAATGGTAATAAAACCCAGGATGGTTTGGAAAAATTAACCTCATCACATCTGCATAAACACACACATATGGAAATTGTAAATAAATAATTATGTCAATAATCTGCTTTATTTCATAATATATTTGTTAAGGCAGAAAAATTTTAAGTGTTAATTTGGGAGCATCAACTAAATTTACATGCACTTTAGAAAAACTGGGGAAGTTTACTTTTTATAAACAAAAATAATGAATTTTTATTCAATAGATAGGCCAAGTACAACCATCAATTAAATATATGAGAGAAGGATGTCACCATTTTTATCTGTGTGTGTGTGTGTGTTATAAGACCCAAATGGAAGGGTTAGAAAGGAAGAAATAACAAAAAAGAATCAGAAAATAGCTATAAAATGAACTCTGAATAGATGACATTATGTGTGTTTCCAAGTGTTTAACATTGCAAGTAGATCTCTTTCCCCAAATGTACTGCACTAGATGTATTCAGTTTTAAATTCGTTTAGATATTTAAAATAAATACTCAGTTATGTATTTATATACACACAGACACTGTGGGTATATGCACGTATGCATACTAACTCCATTCATGCTTTGGAATGTTCTCTTGGAGTAAATAAGTTCACAGTTGCTCCATCTGAGGCTACACTTACCAAGTTTGTCCCCTACCACAGTCACTTCCGTCGCCTCTGAGGGTTCCCCAACTCCTGCAGAGTTGGAGCAGCGCACTCTGAAGCGGTAGGATTTCCCCTCGGCCAAGTCGAAGAGGGCAAAGCGTGGAGACTTCACTGGGAGTTCTGTGTTCACCCGCTGCCAGTTTTCTGTTCCCGCGTCACACTGCAGCAAGAACAGGGACCCCCATTGAAAGCCCACCAAGTACAAAGGGGGCTCCATTGAGGACAGGCATCTCCAAGTTTTATTTACCTGCCAACACACTGCCACCTGCTCCTAAGTTAGACTGGAGGAAAGAAGAAAGTGGGCCCAGGATTCTCTATACCAAAGGGGCTTTGACAAGCTTGGGACTTTTAAGACTTCACTTCCTTTATTAAGCAAATCGATCTACTTAAAGAAGTTTTTATTTCAAGGATAGTTTGGAGTCAGGTATTTTTATAATACATAGGGCAGATAATTAAATGTAATATGCTGTATCATATAAATTTTCATGACATTGTTGTAAGCTGTATTATTTTAATTGAGCGTTATTTAGTGACTCATAACATCATTCAGGTCCTGTGCTCAAATAACCACGTGTCTTCAGAGAGGCTGCTTCAATCACCAGATCCCATCGCCAATTTAAAAAGAATTCTTGTTTTTTTTAACATCACTCTATCCCTTGCCCTACTTTATTTCTCTCCAAAACATGTATTCCTATTTGAAATTAAATAACTTATTTGTTGTCTCCTCCACTGGAAAGTATATTCCATGAATTTAGAGAGCTGTTGAATTCACTACTCTAATCCAGAGCCTAGAACTGTTTCTGGCACATAGTAATCAACTTTTTTAGTCTGAATGAATGAGTGAAATTCAAAGAATGTGCGCTTTTTATTCTTGCACAAATTTTAGGGTAAGTCATGGGAAAACTAATTTAAAGAGATTTACTCTTAAAATTAAAATGATGCAGAGTGACATAGAAATCCTTAAATGGAGAATGTGGTGAGATTTGGTAGAGAATATAGTAAGAAAACTGTCAGAATTCTTCAGTGAGCCTTTCTTTCTCCTAGTCTACTTCCAAATGCATCCAAGGTCAGCAGAAGCAGAGATTTCTAAAATCTTGCCTGATTTTGCTACAGATATTTTTAAGGGTTTCAAAAGATTTTTCCAGAAATCCAGATTTTGTGACAGATTAACCAGCTGTCAAAGGTGACATATTTGGGGCATATAAGTTTACTAGAACATTATTCAGCATAATCTTCACTGTCTTGACTGGAGGCGTGGAATGATAGAAGGGACCCAAAGACATGGGTCTGATCCTAGTTGTGTTAATAATGAGCTACATGACCTTGGAAAATCTCATGACTGCTTTTGGTCTGGGTTTCATCATCTGTAAAATAGGCAGATTTAGTAAGGCAACCTCTAAAGTCCCTTGCATTGTCTTTTAGGATAATGTGTCATCTGTCTTTGTGATCTACTGCCTACTGAAGCGTAACTTTGTCTCAGACATTTAATTTTTTAGTTTATAGTTGTGTTTTGACATATCCCCCCCCAGGGGGATATTTCCTTAAACAATTATTGGTCGTTTATACTTTCATAATAAAAAATAATAGCTGTCTTTTGTTAGGTTAAGAACTTTATATTGTTATAACTTTGCCCCTCTCAATGATGCTTTTGAAGTTATCAAGAGATTGAATTTAGGAAGATTGAAAGGCAGCTTGTGAAATACAGGTTCAGTATTCCTTATTTGAAATGCTTGGAACCAGAAGTGCCTCAGATGTTGGAATTTTTTTGATTTTTGGAAAACTTGCATAGACTTTATTGGTTAAGAATCCTCTATCTGAAAACCTAAAATCCAAAACATTTTGAGCATCATGTTGGCTCATGATTTTGGATTTTCAGATTATGAATGTTCAACCTGTGGTTGGATTTGTGGATCTGAGCCAGACTGCCCAGGTTCAAATCCTAGCTCAGGCTTATGCTTGCTGTGTGACTTTGGACAAATGATATATCCCATCAATATCTCAATTCTCTCATCTACAAAATAACTATAATGAAAATAAAACTATGAACCTCAAAGGGTTACTTTAAGAATTCAGTGGGTTAACATGTAGAAAAGTTCCAGGCCTATGGCAAACACTATTTTCATTCCTGTGGATAGAAACAGAGCCTGGCAAGTGATATAGTCCTTATCTCTGACAGGACTGTATTTTTGACAGGGGAATGAGGGAAAGAGCTCAAGATGTAAGATACACAAGGAAAAAGTCGGGGGCTGAAAAGAATATAGGATAGGGACGGTTGGAGTGCAGAAATGGATTTATCTGATTCCCGCACTAATAAAACAATCAATCTCAATCATTTTAGGGATCACAGATATGGCATAACTAGTTGGCTGCAGGCCTGTAGACAGGTTCATGTTCTATGTGCATGCAAATCCCAGGTGAAAAGTTCCATGAGAAAATGCAAGTATAGGACTAACCCAAGAGCCAGTACTGCCAGATGCATGAACATTCTGGAAATGGAAATACACCATGGGACAGAAGTAATTCAGCAAAAATAATTTTAGACTCAGCTCAGAATGGTTTGACATTTAGACAGTTCTGTAAACACCCCCAAGTCTTTGGACACGTTCTACATCGCCAATGTCTCAACATCATGGGTGTTCTGTAAGAGTGGACTACACCCCATGCAGCCTCTCAAATCAACATGGTACCATGAACGTCCACTTCTATCCAAATGGGTGGGCTGGTGGAAGATACTTAACATCTTTAATCACAGATTCATATGTATTTAGGTCTAGGTAAGTGAAAGACTTTCATGGAGAAATTAGAGTTGATGTGACCAGAGGAAACATTCAACAGAAGCCAGTGTTGACTCCTCAGAAAATGCCTCAGAATTGGGTTGTTGTGCTTTGTTATCACAGGAAAGATGATAATTACTGTCACAGAGGTTATTCAGAACTCCCTGTGTATCATTTCAAAGAGATGAAGAGCAGGTGTGTTTTAAACACCCCCAGGAAATGAACATTTATTTATCTACCACTCTATTCTTGCCCTCTATTAAACAAACAAGCAAACAAAAAAAGCTCAGAATGCTACTTGGGTTTTATTTTATTTGAGGCTAATATCTAGAAAATATAACTATGTACATATAAATGTTAAATATTACTTTTGTAAAACCAGACTCTTTGTTTAAAAAATATTTTTGTAGTTTTGATAGAATTTTATTTTATTTATTCATACCCAGTGCTGAGAATTGAACCCAGTGCCTCACACATGCCAGGCAAGTGTGCTACCACTGAACCCCAGCGCCAGCTCCAGCCCCCCAAAACCAGACTCTTTTGGGAAATATCCATGTTCATGTGGAAGAGATGATGAATTTATGGTTATCAGTTTGCTAGGGATAAGAAGGAAGAGAGGAATGCAGCTTAAAGACATGAGCTAAACATGAGGAAAGTAATTAATAAAGGGAAATTATGGAGCTGGGCGCTGTGGTGTATACTGTAATCCCAGCAACTCGGGAGGCTGAGGCAGGAGGATTGAGAGTTCAAAGCCAACCTCAGCAACTTAGCAAGACACCTAAAAACTCAGTGAGATCCTGTCTCTAAATAAAATAGTAAAAAAGGGCTGGGGATGTGGCTCAGTAGTTAAGCACCCCTTAATTGAATTAGGTTCAATTCCTGGTACAAAAAAAAAAAAAATGGAAATCCTGGACACTCGCATTTTTAGCTCTCCTATAATTTTGTCAAGGGCCATTGATTTGAAATAAATAAAAGACCAAAAGATATCTCTATGTTGTTTTTATGTTGCTGCCTAATTTACAGATGGTTATGAAATTTATTCTCTTGCAATAATTGTCAGGGAAGGTGACCTAATAGATTTTCTGAAATTGAATTAATATTCAATTCTGATGAATAAGCATTCAAGATAAAAGAGGAAAATTATTTGCACTCCGTATTTATGTGAAAAAAGGTCCTTCTATGATTTTCTATCAAAGTAAAATGTAAATGATAAGTTTTCATGCTAGTATACAATTTTATAAAAATAAAATTTGAAAGTGCAAAGGCTGGTTTCATTTACTGTTCAAAAAATAGGCCAGGAATGGTGGTGCACACCTGTAATCCCAGCAGTTTGGGAGGCTGAGGCAGGAGGATCACAAGTTCAAAACCAGCTTCAGCAATGTAGCGAGGCACTAAGCAACTTAGCGAGACCCTGTCTCAAAATTTAAAAAAAAAAAAAGGCCGGGGATGTGGCTCAGTGGGTAAGCACCCCCAGGTTTGTTTAATCCCCAGTACAAAACAAAAACAAAACCAAAAAAACCAAGAACCAACAATCAACCAACCAAAAAAGTGCATCATCACTACCAATAAAAATGTAAATGTTCTAATATATAAGACAAAAAGTATGTTGTTTTATCTTCTCAATTATACCCTAATCATATGTGGGTTTTTTTGTTTGTTTGTTTGAGGTACTAGGGATCGAACACAATGCCTTATGCATGCTAGGTTAAGTGTTCTACCACTGCAATCTCCCCACCCCTCATAAAAACTTTCTTAACAAATGGATTTTGAGCCTCATGTTAAGCAAACTCCTTAAACATCCTTTTCAAGAAGCCATGATCCTGTGAACCAGGGATTTCTTGCATCCCTTTGACCTGGGCCTTACCTGAAGGCTCTCCTGTGTTTCCATACTGGCAACTGGATCCGTTTCCCCAATCCTGTCCTGCAGGTTGACTCTTTTCCTTTTGCTGGGCATCAATGCTTATCAGAACTCCCCTTGAACAGGGGTGTATGATTGATTGACATTTCATCCTCATCCATTTCACTCACTCTAGGCCTTCATTGTATGTGACCCTCCCTAGTGTTCTGATCCTCAACACAAGTGTGTTTGTGAGAAAGAACTCTCCAGTGTCTTTGGTGGTTTTGTCATCCCTGACCCCACCCTACTCTCTGCACTTAGAGTAATGCTAGCTGAGCATGGTGATGAGTGAGGGCTTGCTATGCTCAACTCTCCCTCTTGTTTGAAAGTAGTGCAACTTCTCTATTCCTCTGACCTATCTACCCCATTGATGTTCATTCCCTATCACACAAGGTCAAGTGGTAGAGGGATGAAGATCCCTTAACACAGAAAGGGAGACAGAAAATCTCCAGAAAAATGCCATCATAAAGGCAATCTACAATTTCAGGAATACTTCTTTTTCCTATAGGAGACATGATTTGGGATCTGTAGTCCTCTTAAGAGTTTATGGGTGAGGCTTTAAGTTCCATAAGTCCCCTGAGACAAGAAGACTTTCAGGCAAAGTTCTACAAGATATACATCTTTCTATGGAGAGTTCATGGTCGTAAGGACGTAGAGTTCAGGATGTCCCCCTTTTCTTCTCCCTCAGTTCACTGTTCCCACAACTTTACTTCTAAAAAAAGTCTGGGAAGTGGCACAAGGTAACCTTGATTCTGGAGTCTTACCTTTTCCACAAAGTACATGATGCCCTCATGGCCACGCTGGCCAGGGGGCTTCCAGCTTAGTACCACGTAGCTCCTGGTGGCCTCAGTGACAGAGAGGTTGGTGGGAGGCCCGGGAATAATACCCTCTGAAAAACAACAAGGACAAGTGAGCATACCATCTGGGTGGCCTGGGACACTCAGAGAGTCCTAAGATGCTTCTGTCCTCTGGGAGGAATCATTAATTATGGCTCCACCGTATAAAGAAGTACCTTGTCTCTAAACATCTCCCTGAAACATCATTCATTCAATTGTTAGATGCCATTGAGTATTTAGCACACAGACCTGAGGAGCCTGGGACACGGTTTTTGTCTTTGAGTTGTTTATACTTGAGTTGATGAAAACAGAAGCTGAACAGCACAGCAAGTGGGAGCTTAGGTGCTGAAGGTCGTGAAGGTCGTGAAGAAGTGCGTGCTGAAGTCTGTGGTGTGTCACGAGGGGGTGGGGTTTGATTCTGTCATCCTTTATTGGTACTGGCACTCCCAGTGAGCTCAGCTGATTCCTTTGGTGCCTCCTTTCAGTTTCAGTGAAGTGCATATCTCTGTCCCACCCACTAGCCTTGAGGCACTTACTTAACGTTGACCTTTGGTATCTACGTATTTCCAGACCCTCACTCTCTGCTTATAAGAAAGGCCAGTTTTGCCAGCACGATGGCACAGGCCTATAATCCCAGTGGCTCTGGAAGCTGAGACAAGAAGACTGCAGGTTCAAAGCCAGCCTCAGCAATGGTGAGGCACTAAGCAGCTCAGTGAGACCCTGTCTCTGAGTAAAATACAAAATAGGGCTGGGGATGTGGCTCAGTGGTTGAATGCCCCTGAGTTCAACCTCTGGTACCAAAAAAAAAAAAAAAAAAGGAAAAAAGAAAAGAAAGAAAGCCAGCTTTACCATAACTTCAACTATAAACCCAACTCTGCTGACCTTGGCTTCTGCTTACCTGGTCAAAGGATTTTGTTCTCCACCTTGTTTTAATCTCTGAGCCAGTGGAAACCCTGTCTGTGGAGAGTTCATTTGGGTCTAAACTCTAGATACACTGGGACTGCCAGGATCTGGGTACTCCTGAAATCTGCCCTTTCCTTCTCTGTGACTCTCCCAACCTCACTCTCAGACCTTCTAATTTTCTACCCAGCTAGGACTGCCAGAAACAATAGAGGGTGTCTTGTAATTTTGTTTGCCAAATTGGTACATTTGTTTATTTAATATAGTTGCTGCCTTGGCAGACGTTTTTAGGTCTGACATAAGTTGTTCGATACCCGGTTGTACCCAGTCCTGTCTGGCCTAATTGAAACTTTGCCCTGCTGTGTGGTTGTTTGTGATAGAGCCTACTTGTTCCTCATCTCACTGACCCAAACTCAACATACCCCTCAGATGCTAACCTCAATAAAATCTGATGATCAAAATCAAAGTCATGTAAATAAATTCCCCTTTGTGTTCTCTTTAAACTCACCAATCTACAACACTTGTGGGAATGCCTATGGACTTTAACAAGGGCATAATCCTACAAGTCTCTTTCTTCTTGCATGATGCTCTTGTTCCTTCTCTTGTTTAGGTTAACCTTGTTGAGTTCCCCACCACCTAACAAAAGCAATTCTTAAAAAGATTAAATTGTTTTCCCAGATAAAGCTCAAGTGTATTTCTACAAATATAAAAAATATCCAGCACCAAACAAATGTCTGGCACCTAATAAACAATTACCAACTATGAAAAGAAACATGAAAACATGATCTCTAATGAGGAGAAGAATCAATCAATAGAAACAAAACAAGAAAAGCTGCTGATTATAGAATCAGTATCTGTGAATTGCTGAATAAGATTAAGTAGACAAGGACACGGAAACAGCAATAAAAACACTCCACAGGCTCAAGAGAGTAAGGATTGAATGAACATAGCAACAGGGAGCTGTAGGACATTTCAAGTGGTTTCAAGTGGCATGTAGTCAGAGTTCCTGAAGAAGAAAAGACAGAAGAAAAGACAAGAAAGAGCAAGTAAAAATCTTCCAGAGCTAATAACAAATACAAACTCACAGGTCCTAGAAACTCTTCATATATGAAGAAAACTACACAAATGCAAATCATAATCAAATTTCTAAAACCAATAATAAAGAGAATCTTGGTAGCAGATAGAGAAAAAAGACATAACACCTATCCAGAAACAGAAATAATAACAGCAGTCATTCTTATAGTGCAGATCTGCATGACAATGGACCAAAATACTGAAAGAAAACTGTCAGTCTAAAACTCTATATTCAGTGAAAATGTTTTTCAAAAAAGGTAAAACAGAGACTCTAAAAAAATACACAATAGATAAAATAATTTATAACTATAGACCTGCAATATAAGAAAGTTAAAGGAAGTGGTTCAGGTAGAAAGAAAGTCTTAATAGAATCTGAAAAGTGGGAGATTGGAAGATGGCGGCTAATAGAGTGCACCACCCCTGTGTACCGCGTCACTGCGCAGGTGAATAACAAGTTAGAACAGCCAAAAGTTATCTTGTTAGTAATTTCCAGCAAAATTGGGGTGCACCGAAACCTAGAGGAAGGATTTCCATCACCCGAGGATCGGTTACTGGGGCTCAACCGCGAGTGAACCGTGCACCCGGAGATTCAGGCTGTTTGATCGGCGGCCCGCCCCACTGCTAGAGACTGCGGCCCACCAAGAAACGGCGTGTTTCTTGATGCAGTGCTGCAGATGCTGTGGGGTCCTGCCGGCTGTGCCCTCACTGAGCTTCGGGCTGAGTTCTGGGTTTGAGATGGGGGAAGGAAGCGGTCCAGTTCTGTCCTCCACACGGAACAGTCCAACGAGGAAGCCAGCGGCCACCATCTTGGAGAGCTGATGTCACCATTGCCAGTTTCCGACAGAATGCAGCATGTTCAGTGATAGAATAGGTGTGTGCCATTTAGCCCATCTCCCATACAGCGGGAAATCACATAAAATCTCTCCCCAGCTGTCTGGGGGCGTGATTAACAGAGTGAGCGTGAATAGAGGTGTGGGGAAAGGCACCTGATCTCCAACTCCCCCCTCCCACCAGCGGCGAAAACGAAACCTGTCTCGCCAGCTCTCGGAGGAGGGGCTAGCGGAGGGAATCAAAACAATAAGGTGCCAGTTCCCAATAGCTGTGCTCCACGTCCAGGAAACTGCAGGCCCAGAGTGTAGTTTGAACTGCCGAGAGGTATCACACTGGGAAAGGCCTGGCTGGCAGGAGAAGTGACGAGATTAGAGACCAGGAATAAACATAAGCTAATGGGTTTTGAGAGACACCAGGTGGGGGAAGAGGGAGCGGCCTCACACAGATTGTTTCCTACAGCCTGAGGGCAAAATCTTGGCCCGGAAGGCACAGCACCACCTACTGGAAGCGAAGAAAATAGAAGCCTAACAGTGTGTTTTTTTTCTTTCTTTTTAAAATTTTTTAACCTTAATTTTTTTAAATTATTTTTTTAATTGTAATTTTTATTTAACTGCATTTTATTATTTTTTTATCATTTCTTTTTCTTTTATATTCTTTTCTCTTTCTTTCTTCTCTTCCTCTCTCTTTCTTGGTTTGCTTCCTTACCTTTTCCCCATCTTTCCTCTTAAGCATGACCACCCAGATTACGTACAACTTACTAAATGCAAATAGATGAATTCTACGAATCGGTCTATAGTCCGCCTAGGCCCTTAACTACCCCCAAGTACTCCTGTCTATTCTCTTGTTAATATCTGCCTGCATTTGAGCAACCCCCCAAAGAAGCTAACATATACTAACCTCCATACCATCAAATCGCCCGACCTTAACATAAAATCCTAAGTTCAAACCTCAATTCTCTATACGCCATCAAAATCTGTAGGCCTTTAATGAAACTAATGAATTTACCTTAAATCACAATTAAATCCAACATCTCTAAACATTGTCTCCCAACACAAAGGAGAGATATTGGAACTATAAAAACCAAAACAAATTTAAAGGAGAAAACAGAAACACAGCAGTCAAACAGAGTTGGAAAGTAACGTGAGCACCATGAAAAAACAAGGGAAAAAAGGATTATAAACAATGCAGGACAACTTAAATTCACAGGAGAACCTAGAGGCATCAGAAAAATGGACAGAGAAAGAACTCAAGGCATACCTAACTCAGATGGAACAGAATCTTAGAGAAGACATTAGACAGCAAGTTCAAACAATGAAAGGATACTTTGAAAACGAATTACATAAGCAAATTCAAATGGTAAAGAATGAGCTCTACCAGGAGACAGAGATTTTTAAAAAAAATCAAACAGTAATTCTAGAAATGCAGGAAACCATAAACCAAATTAAAAACTCAAATGAGAATATTACAAATAGACTAGATCAATTAGAAGTCAGAACATCAGATAATGAAGACAAAGTTTATCAACTTGAAAAGAATATAGTCAACACAGAAAGGATGCTAAGGAATCACGAGCAATCCATCCAAGAGACATGGGATGTCATAAAAAAAAACAAACTTGAGAGTCATTGGGATAGAAGAAGATATAGAGGTTCAAACCAAAGGAATGAACAATCAATTGAATGAAATAATCTTAGAAAACTTCCCAAATATGAAAGATGGAATGGATTGCCAAATCCTGGAAGCCTACAGGACCCCAAACATACAAAACCGTAATAGACCAACTCCAAGACACATAATTATGAAGATATCCAACATACAGAACAAGGAGAGAATATTAAAAGCTATGAGAGAAAAGAGGCAGATTACATTCAGGGGTAAACCAATTAGGTTAATGGCTGATTTTTCATCACAGACATTGAAAGCGAGAAGATCCTGGAACAACGTATTTCAAACGCTGAAAAATAATGGATTCCAACCAAGAATACTGTATCCAGCAAAATTAAGCTTCAGATTTGACAATGAAATTAAAATATTTCACAATAAACAAAAGTTAAAAGAATTCACAGCCAGAAAACCAGCACTGCAAAGCATTTTGAGCAAAACACTACAAGAAGAGGAATTGAAAAACAGCACCCAAAACCAACAGTGGGAGGTAACACAGTAAAGGGAAGAAAAAAAAATAACCAAAAAGGAAAAACTAGCCATATTAAAATAAATAAATAAATAAGCATGACTGGAAGTACAAATC